AAGCCTTGCAAACGCATAACGTGGGATTTAAACGTGGTTTTAAATTTACGTGACGTTAAGAGCTGTGGGTAGCGTACGCGTGGGTTTGGAGGGCGCTAGCCTTGGGTACCTGTCGCCATCGTGGGGGCTGCCTCTGGCATTTCCATTCATCTCCTCCATTCATTAAGTAGATTTTAAAAATTAAGTACTCTTATTTTTTATTAAGTTGCTTGGGTGGCAAATGTGAAGATAAGTAAGCTATAAATAGGTATTTTTATCAAAGGCGTACGCTTCCATTTTGAGAAGGGGAAGACCAGAAAAAGATACCAGGAGTTTATATTTTGTATAACAACTATATGAGAAAAATATTTTCAACAAAGGAATTGCTTTTTCAAAACATCTTTGAACAAATCAATACAATAATTGTGAAACGATAAATAAATATAATATTTTAATATATTATATTTAATGTATACCATTAAAATTAGATTTGTAGGGACAGAACATTGGTGGAAGTTAATGTTTAAAACCATTTAATCCTTTAAATTATATCAAAAAGAGATTTAATCGTAGTTTATTACGATAACTAGACGTAAGCTGGGATTACAGGATTTTTAAAAAAAAATTGTTTGACTGATTTCATATTATATATTTTAATTTTTTTTTTTTTTTAAGATGAATCTAGAACCACGTCCCACAAGAGGTATTCATAATGAACCCATTCCACAAATGGCATTTCCCGCTGATTTCAAAAACTTAGTACAGACAGATGAGGATATAAAACCGGGATAATGTTGTACAAAATTTAAACATTCATGAATAGGTATAACCAGGTAAAAATAATAGCACAGGCTACCTCAGAAGAATTTGATGTTTTTTATTAAAAATTTTAAAAACTCCTGGACTGTGAATCGAATCCATAAAGTTGCTCTTTAAGAGATTAAAGAATATTAATTTTTGTGTCAAATTAGTACCACAATTTGATAATATGGTTAAGTGATGTGGATTGAAAACATCGGACAACAAACAATGAATTTTACCAACTTTGTCAAAAACTGAGATGCATTTCTATATATGACATTGCAGTTGTGAAATGAGATTTAGAAGAGAAATAAACTCATGCAAAAATTTGTGGTTGAGTGATTTGCTAAATTTCATTTTTTGTAAATATTATTTTTTAAATTTCAGAGTGTAATCAATTTTTTTTCGATTATTTCGATTTCCAAATTTGGAAATTCGATTATTGATTTTTATTTTTTTATTTTGTTAAATCAAATTATTGGGGGTGCCGAATGAAATTGCTCGCTTCCTTTATTTAATTATTTGGGAGACGGTCATCCCTTCGCCTTCCTAAGTTTGCGCCAAATATTTGTAGGGTTTACAAACTCATATTAATTTAAAAAAGGTGGAGGACACTGATTCAAATCAGATTTTAACACATGACACATATTTCAATAAAACATGAAATTTCCACGAAATTGATAAAATATTGTTAATGAAATTCTAACAACAGTGAAGTTGGTAAACTAAGAGACACGTTTATTGCTTGTCATGACGAAACGGGCTTATTTTGACTTATAGTGTTAATAAATTGAGAAAAGATATGTATGGGCGTATCATGATTAAAATATTATATGCATATTAAAATAGATATGCACTTTATAATTAACTAATGTTCATTGTTAAAACAATATCTCTTTTTTTCTGTTATTTTTAAATAATAAAAATTAAGCAATTAATTCTAGTCAAACAGTGAGCTTAATTATTCCATCCTTTGATAGGATTGTATACATCATTCTATTCTGTTGGTTTTTCTATGACAAAGTTCAATTTAGTATTTATCCCTTTGAAAATAAACAATCAACTGATCATAATAAACATATTATTTGTGGTAAACATAGTCACTATAAACATAGTCTGATATTGATGTTATCATAGGTACTATAAATGGATTTTATAATTAAAGTTTTATTGATGGTTAAAAATTGAAATACCTACAAAACGTCATTAGGTATATCGAATAAAATATGTGTCATCATGATTTATTTAGACACAGTCTAGACTTGATTTATTCAATTTGCCGACGTTTCGACCTAATCATGTGGGACATCACCAGGGCATTAGTTTTTGTCCAGATTCCTATGTATTCATATGTAAGTATGTGTGTATATACATCACACGGAAAGGGGTCTGACCTTGTATCAAGAGCCTTGGTATGATAGGCCCTGGTGTGATTTATTCATGTACTGTTCGATTTTCTTCAAATTTGAGTAAATATTTCTTAAAATCGTGAAAAAAACATCTAATTTCAATTTCTAATTCAGGTCCAAAATGGTCGAATTCAGTTTAAATGGTCTCGTATCATACATTCGATGCTCGATTTTATTCCTATTTGACAAGATTTTTCTAGAAGATATTTAAAACGTTGCGTATAATAACTGTTATTTTTAAGTCTGTTTGTTTTTATTTATTTTTTGATGATTCAGTCGTACGGAGAAGGGAAAACATTAAGATAATTACAATATCTGTCAGAATTATAATGGAAAAATATACATTAATTGTTATATTACAATGGGCAGAGCGATTTTATATATACGAGTATACTAATCCGTGGCACAGACCCCTTTTTATCAAATTATTAATATCGGCCTAAAACTTTGTAAATAGCTTCATATGATCGTAACCTAGATCTTTGTTATCTACGAAATTTTTCAGAATTAGGACGTTTTCTCATTAAATTAATTAATTTAATGAGGCACTAAAAACTCATGAATATCCATTTGCTTTCCAGTTGAATCGTGAGATAATTTTATCACCAAATCGATAAAAAGATGGCCTCCAAAAATATTGGGCCGTTTGGCCTATATAACCTCTTAATTTTGACATGTTGGGGGATGGTGGTCAGGCCAAATGGAGTATTTCTGTAGGCTACCTTTTTTTTCGATTTTGTGATTAGAAAATTCGATTAAATTATCTCACGATTCTATTGGAAAAGAAATGGGTGTTAATGATTTTTTAATACCTTATTAAGTACACTAAGTTTAGAAATCTCCTGATTAAAATACTCCGTTTCCGATAATTTTTGTAAATAAAAAAATTGCAGCTCACGATAAGATAAAGCCACTCAGGGAGTGTTAAACTGTGTTAATAATTTGACAAAAATAAGTCTGTACCGCGGGCTTAACAGCTTGAATCTAGTCGAATCCTTGCTATATTTTGGCACTTCTACTTGCGATTATATTATTTACGTTACGCAAGTTATCACAAGAGTACTATGTGAACCGAAGATTACTATAAATTACATTACATTACATATAAAAGATTATATAATAAATCTCATATATTATAGGATACGATGTTCGATACATAACAAATTTAAAAACATTAGCTTCTAAACGAATGACAATATCTAAGTCTAAAGCTATAAAAGTTTTAATTAGGAGAGATTTTAAATTTTCATGTCTGATTTATCTGTTTTAGGTTTCCTTGAAGTTGTTAATTTGATCGTATCTTTCAACTAGTAAACTGCTAAGAAAATACTAAATAGATTGAATTAAATTATTTTAAACATATTAAATAAATCATTTTTACAATCTATTGTTCTGTTTTATAATCTATTACTATTAACCTTATTTTATAGAGGTAATTTTGGTTAATATCATAGGCACAGATTTCGTAGAGTGATCTCCCTTCCCTACCCTCCATAAAACAGCGAAAGGCGAAAATATCATTTCTCCCACCAATAATTCGAAATAAAATAATTAAAAACCAATAACAATTAATCAACGTGAATGAATAAAATAAGCAAACGAAAACCAATTAAGAAAATGAGAAAAGTCGACTTGATGGCTAAGCTAAGGCGTATAAGTAGGTACTCAAGTATTTTACCACACCCTGTGTTCCTATTGTTGAAATTATAGTTTATCTTTAAAGACAATTATATATAATTATATCCTAAGATTTCATGTGCACATTTTCATTTTACGTCACATTTCCCACGGCTTTTGAACAATATCAAAAAGAGTCACAAACCTTTAAATAAAAATAAAAATATGTAATACATACTATTGCTTTGTTCTAATATTTTCAAATGTACACATACACATATTGTTCGTTTTTAAATACTGTTAATTTTATTAATTGTCACTAATAATTTTGATACAAAATATTGACTCCTATTTTTTTTTTAGAGGAATTCGGGATCTATTCTCTCCCTCTCCAATCCCCTCACAACCAGAACGGAAAGTCCGCACTCATGGTTAATATAATAAAAAAAATTAAACATTTAGGGGACTTTGGGGGAACATTTATAAAAGTTTAAGGGACCTGGCAATCATGGTTTAATTTTGGGGAAGGGAGGGCTTCAACTCTAAAGATTTTTTTGTTATATATATATAACGATAATTACTTTGGAAGAAACATAAATAAACTAACAACCTGTATGAAATGGTGTTTAAGTGGTTCTAGAAGTACTTTTAAATGTAATTACACGAGAGAGAAACACTTTATTTTCATATAAAATAAAAATATAAAAGATTGCTGCCCAATTATACACAGCATACTCCTTAATCCGTTGGACAATAAATGAACTTATATATAAATAGACAGAAGTGGTTAGTTTATATGAGTATAATAAATATATATAATTTTTTTTAACATTTAATTTTCCCTTTCTCTCACTTCTCTCTCTTTATACACCTCTCCTATACACAATAATAAGATGCTTAAAATTATATTAGAACAATAACAAAAAACAAAAGTGTATATATCTAGAATTAAATAAAATTCTGTTTTATACTTTTAGAGATAATTTCCAAATATAATTTTCGTAAGACACGGTTATATTTTACCATTTTGGGGAGGGCTTCATCCCGAAAGCTCCTCCAGTTTATCCACCTGTGCTGTGGACAGTATCAGATTCGCTAAAATCCACTCCATAAAGTCTTAATAATCCCATGTGCCTTAAAAGGAAATGACCTAATAATCTCCTTTCTTAAATGAGATCGCTACCTAATAAATGCTCATAACAACAGTGTAATAAGATAAAGAAATGATTAAACACGAATACTTGTTTTTTTTCTAAGTTTAAAAAAAAAGATTACTAAAAACGGCTTGAATATTTTTTCCAGAGAATGAGTCGGCTTGGGCAACGCCTCGCTACGGAGCTGGAGGTGACGTCACTAAAGAGGCCCCCGTGGTGGGGGATTTATAAGACGGAGGCCGCCCTTGCCGGTGGTCCATTGTTCCAGAGGTTACCGTCGTCCAATCTTCTAGGAACGTTTCAACCAGTTTTCTCCTCTTTCTCTCAAACCAACTATATTATCTACTTATCAAAATGGTATGTGCTCGCATTATTTAATATTTAACAACTCTTCCAAACAGTGATGAAGTTAGTGAGAGAATAGTACTTAATAGTGTTCTGATTGTGAAAGCTTCCACGTCGTACCGTTGTAACGGTCGTCGGCCATTCCCAAGCGAAAGAATTTCATCCAATTAGAAATGATCTCGTTTATATTTCTTGTTACATTACATGATAATTCACTTCCGAAAATATACAATTAATATATTGTAATAATATGGGATTAATTGTCGACTAAAGTAAAGGTCAATGAACCGAAATTTATTAAAACCGGTCATTGAAATAACTAATTGTTTATTTCAAACAACAACAAAATAAGATTCGAAATAATAATGTTTCACGTTAAAAAAATATTTTATTAAAAAAAAAAATATTATTTTATCCTATTGAATGATTTAACCCCGAAGCATGAGGAAGGAAGTTGGTGTATCGAGTTGAATATCGAAATTAAAAAAAAATCGTTTTCGTTTGAATCTTAAAGTAATACAAATAATATTCTGTCTCAAAATGCAGTATATTTAATCTTGTGGTAGCTATGAAAAAATAAAATAAAATAAACCTAAGAAATTATTTTATCAGTATTACAATTTTTAATGTTATCATTATATGCTTCTTAGCAATTGTTTTCTATTATTCACGCACCAACAATATGTATCATAATTTAAAGTATATTTTAATTATAAATTTTTTTTTCAAGTTTCTTTAGTAAGAAGTTCATTGTGTCAACAGGTCTAGGATTTTTTTCTATTAACAGTTCTAGCACTTTTTTGTATTTTCCGGTTCCATCGTACAAATGCTATTTTTGCTTTAATTGCTTCACTTTCATTCATTTAAAGTTCGAAAAATAATACGATATTTCGAAGAAATTACTCTAAATTTATAATGATGACTAAACGGAAATGATATAATAAATACTTCTAGGAAAAATTAGTCAGTACACTGGTGCATTAAGGAAGTGTTGGATGCTTTCCTTCACTTCCCCCCACTCAGTGCCTCAAAGAAAATAATTTTAAAAAATTAACTTTAAATTGTTTTATTTATATACAGAATTAAATTATTATTTTAAATGCATTTCTCCATATAGTGCACCATAAGAAAATTAATATTTATATTTCATCTTAAGTTTTAAATAAAAAAAATAAGTCCTCTGATGAAAATCCTAGTTGAGACAATCATGAAACTAAAATGAAAGCTTAATTTTTTAATTATAAACAATGATATGAACTAGACCTAGGCAAAACATATTTTAAAATACTATTTATTTTGTTTTTTTAAAATCCAGTGTATTTTAATTATTTAGATTGATTTCATAAAATGTATTTTAAGTACAAAATACTAAAAGTATTTTCCTGTAAAAAAACAAAATAATTTCTGGTGAACAATCAGCATATAATACAGAGAACTTACTATATTTGATAATTCATTTTGTGTAATTAAAACACAAAATAAAATACATTTTTTGTTTTGAAATAAAATACAAATATTTGTTTGTATTTTAAAAAGAAAATGCAGTGACAATCTATTTTATATTTTTAAATACTGTCAAAGTCTGATATGAACATGCAATATTAATATTGACTGAACAATTTCAGTAGTGATACTGCACGTGCATCTACTAATTTATTTATGCTTAGAAATTTATAGCCAATGAAATCAATTTAATAGAACTTTAACATTTTCTTAATAAATTTGTTTAAAAAAAAAAGTTATCAATTTTCTAGACATTAAATTCCATATATAAATGGCAATTAATCATAGCCATCTAATTTGTTTACAATAAGAAATGTATTGCTAATAAAATAAGTAACACCAATAATTAATAATATAATTGAGCAGATCAATTGTCAAGTAATATTTTTAAATTAAGTAGAGCCTAAGTATTAATTTGCAAATATTGCTGTTAAAAACCATACAATGTGATATACTGCAATTATAAAACGCATAAACAATAATATTTTTCTGTTTCTTAATAAATTATTTTATTTTGTTGTTTAAAATCTATAAAAATATATATATATAAGGGAGAAACCTTTTATCTTTTTTTTTTTTCTTTGCATTTTAACCAAACTAGATACATTTACTGGTGTATGTTAACATTATGTAAATGTTAAGTAAGCAATTAATTCTTGGCTATTAATAAATTCTAGGGTGTATTTCTTCCATTTTAAATGATGACTTCATGCCTTAGTAGGGAATGAGTATTTCATGAGTCATCGCATTTCATAGGTCTATTTTGTAATTACCCAACATGAACTGTTGAAGGACACTCAAATCAGTTTTGATATTTAAAAATAAAGAAACTTATCAATCAAAATAGCTTTAGTATTTCAAATTAATTCTTCTACTACAGAATATGTTCATAAATATTTTAAGATTTAATTTTTAAAAACTTTAAATAACAAAATCATTACTTTTTGGTTTTTAATACATAATATAATTAATTTTTCAGAGGGAATGTATCTCAGTCCACGTTGGCCAAGCAGGTGTTCAAATTGGTAATGCCTGTTGGGAACTGTACTGCTTAGAGCATGGCATCCAGCCTGATGGTCAAATGCCATCAGATAAGACAATCGGCAGCGGAGATGACAGTTTTAACACTTTCTTCAGTGAAACCGGATCTGGAAAACACGTACCAAGGGCTGTATTTGTTGATCTCGAGCCTACAGTAGTTGGTACGTTTGTCGCAATAATCTAATATAAATTTAGAATATTTATTTTAAATTATTGATTAACATAAAAATTAAGAAACATTATTGTAATCATATAAATGACAATGTAGATACCAATCATTGAACATAAATATGAAATATTAATATTAAAAATATAGAAAATGTTATTTTTTTTTAAATTAACAAGATATCTCGCTGTTTTTACAGACAGTATATGTTTTAATTTTTAGATAATTTAAATACATATGTTAATCACAGAACTCAAATAAAAACACTGTGTCAAGGTAGCTTTAAATAACAGAGCGACATTATAAATTCTACTTTGTTATTACTGTAATTGCTAAAGAAATTACATTATACAAGGAAATTAAATTTTTAGAACTTTTACAAAGTAAAACTTCTATTCAATTTTATAAACTACAATATAGTTAATAAATATCATGAAGAAAAACAAGCTATGTCAATTTTATTTCAAAATTGAGTTATTGGTAGATTAAAATAAAGAAAGAAAAATGCTAATATCCGATCAAGTCAAATGTGCGATAGAACAGTTCGTTCTGTCCATGTTGAAAATTGGTCGGAAAAATAAACGGCTTTGTCCAATTTTTAATATTTTTCTCACATTTGAATTTTATGGATGCTTGTTTTTCCTACATAGTCTTCATTTACTCTTAAATTAATCTTCAATTTTTCATGCCAGTAATTGATCATTTATCTATTGATTGTAATAATATATATCAAGTGTTCATTGGTTGTTACAGATGAAGTTCGAACTGGTACATACAGGCACCTCTTCCACCCTGAACAACTTATCACCGGTAAAGAAGATGCTGCCAACAATTATGCTAGGGGCCACTATACAATCGGAAAGGAAATAGTCGACCTTGTTCTGGATAGGATTCGTAAATTGGCTGATCAATGCACTGGTCTTCAAGGGTTCCTCATCTTTCACTCTTTCGGTGGAGGCACTGGATCTGGTTTTACTTCTCTTCTCATGGAAAGGCTCTCAGTTGACTATGGCAAGAAAAGCAAATTAGAATTCGCTATCTACCCAGCTCCTCAGGTATATTTTATTATTGACTACTGTAATTTTAATTACCACAAAATACTTTATTTTCAAGCGTCTCTATTAAACAAAAACTAAAAGTAACCTCCTTTGTTCTCTCTGTATAATCATAATTATCATTAACAAACAAATAATCGATTACAACTCTGTCACATCTCTTCAGTTACCTAAACTATCTTCAGCAAGATTGAAGCTGGATTAAGATAGAGCAATTTTTTGTTTACTGTGTGATAAATTTTAATGTAATCTAATAATGTTTTTATTCTGATTACAGGTTTCCACTGCCGTTGTAGAACCCTACAATTCCATTTTGACCACTCACACTACTCTTGAACATTCTGACTGTGCATTTATGGTTGACAACGAAGCCATTTATGATATCTGCCGCCGTAACTTGGATATTGAAAGGCCGACCTACACAAATCTTAACCGACTCATTGGCCAGATTGTCTCTTCTATCACTGCTTCCCTCAGATTTGATGGTGCCCTCAATGTGGATCTGACTGAGTTCCAAACCAATCTTGTACCCTACCCCAGGATCCATTTCCCACTTGTCACCTACGCTCCTGTAATTTCTTCTGAAAAGGCTTATCATGAACAACTTTCAGTTTCTGAGATCACCAATGCCTGCTTTGAACCTGCCAATCAGATGGTAAAATGTGATCCCCGTCATGGAAAATACATGGCCTGTTGTATGTTATACAGAGGTGATGTTGTTCCCAAGGATGTCAACGCTGCTATTGCTACCATCAAGACCAAGAGAACCATTCAATTTGTTGATTGGTGTCCAACTGGTTTCAAGGTTGGTATCAATTACCAACCTCCAACCGTTGTTCCAGGAGGTGATCTTGCTAAAGTTCAGCGTGCTGTTTGCATGTTGTCAAACACAACAGCCATTGCTGAAGCTTGGGCTCGTCTTGATCACAAATTTGATTTGATGTACGCCAAGAGAGCTTTTGTTCATTGGTACGTCGGTGAAGGAATGGAGGAAGGTGAATTCTCTGAGGCCAGAGAAGATTTAGCAGCTTTAGAAAAAGATTATGAAGAAGTTGGCATGGATTCTGGAGACAACGATGGAGAAGAAGGAGGTGAAGAATACTAAGTATTTATGAGAGACCTAAATTTTCAAGAAAATCTAAGACCGACCTATTTGTTAATTTTTTGAATGTTCTAATTAATTTATATTTTTATACTGTTTAAAAATGATAAAAGAAATACAGCTGCATTTATAAAATTTGTTTCAGTAAATTTCCCTCTAACAATTTATATTGTAGCTAATAATTATTTAGTATACTTACTTATGAGTCTGCAAGAATTTTGCAGTCGGTGCCATAAATGATTTCCTTTCGGGAAAACAATTCAATACTTGTACTGCATTAAATATTAATATTATATTAATAATATAATATAATAATAATATTAGTACTGCATTTCCTTTGGGAAAACAATTCAATACTTGTACTGCATTAAAGAACTTTTAAGTATGTCTAATAGAGTTGAAAATCAAATTTAAGGCTTTTTTAAATCAAACCATCCCCGTAAGAACAGGCCAACTTTACCTTATGAAAAACTAAGATAAATTTAAGATCCAAGTTGATTTGTATTGAAAATATAGAATACAAGAGAAAATTTATCATCTATTGATAAAAATCAATGAAAGGACATGTAATTTTATTTTTTTAATTCAATATGGCAAAGTTTTTTTGTTAAATTGAATGTTTCCTGCAGATTTATCTTAAATTTTAACTATCTAAAAAATATAGATCTGATGTCCTTACATCAGGACAAAGTTAGTCACAAACCCTCATGGATTGAATACATTATTCATAAATTGGATGTTATTTTACAAAACTTTTATGATAATTTAAAACAGTATGTTTTTGAAATACTTGTATGCCATTAAAGATACATATAAAAAAAATCAAATTATAAAACAATTATCTGTTTAGCTTAAAACATAAACTTTCTGTATCTGAAAGAGTTAGAGAAGGAAATGGAAAATTTATGAAATAAGAGAGGAATTATTTTGAAAAATAAGCTAAGCTACCAATTATTTATAAACTTGGTCAAATAAAATAAAAGCTAATAAAACAAAACTTTTATTTTTTATAAAAAATATACATTAAATTAAAATAAAGCAAGACACAGAAAAAGGAATGTCATGATAATTGAGAATTTAGTAATTTTTTTCTGACTAAGGTAATTACCTCAGGATTACAAAATGCATTAATAACATTATTTCTAATGAGATTATTATTTACACTTCTATTAACAACTCCATAGTTTTCTTTACACTTTAATTTCAAAAATTCAATTAAAACATCTGATGTGATTTTTGTAATTTCAACATTGTTCTCTGAATCATTATTATGGCTTACTTTATTTTCTCTTTCACTGCAATGATTCAAACACCATGATAATTCCTGAAGATTCCTTATTTCATCAGAGTCAGGTAGATCATCCTAAAAACATAAATTAACTTAGATATTGGAAACTATTATGTTCTTAGTTATGTCTTTCAAACTTCAGAAGATTCAACTGTTTTATAGAATTATGACATTTTAACATTTATCTTAGCCTAAGATACATTTTTTGCATTCTGTTATCTCTTGAGTGAGCTACATAACTTTTTTTACCAAAAATCTACATGAAGCAAATAAGAAAACAATGGCTCACGACAAACAAGAAGTGGAGCAGGCTGGTTATGGAAGCAAAATTAAGCCCATAATAAGTATAAGAGCTTCCTCAATTTTTGTGCTGCATTTATAGTTTATTTCTTACCTGATTGTAGGATGTTATGTTCGAGGTTCCTAAATACAGACATGGAAAATAGAAATAAGTCAGGGATTATATTATTTTGCAAAAGTCAGAGATTTTTGCTTACTAGTCGGAAAGTCATGAAATTGGACAGAAGTATTGGCCCAAAAAATGAAAAGTTACTAAATATAGAGAAAATAATTAAATTTTTAAAAAAGTAGATGCTCAAAAAATACTTTTTATTTACGATCTGCCCTCATGAGTTGGTGCATCTGCTAATTTGCGGATCATTAAATGTTTTCTGGTGTTTAGCCTGCTCATTCACTGGAAACATAGAAGGATGAAAGAACTGTTTTCATCTTCATCCAGTTTAGTAATGAACTTCCTTATTTGTTATAACTTTTGAGACTCAAAAAAAAGAAAGAGATTAAATTATATGAGATCTAAAAAACAAATTTGATTATCTTACAAGCTTCAGATGAAATTGTTGAAAAACTGATAACCTTCAGTTTCATGAACAATTTTTTTTTTTAATTTCAGGATTTGCCATGAGTGACCCCTCAGTCATGACCTATCTATTATTGTCTCCAATAATCTTGATTCTGTCATTCTTCTCATTTAAAATGAAATCTTAACTAAAAAAACTTGATACTCAAATACCTTTATTGTATGCCAACCTCACCACCATTTCACTGTTTCATATGAAATTAACAATTTCCTCCTCATTAAAAGCTACCAAAATGAACTATGTTCATTAATAATATACTATGCTGAATTACTCTCACAGACTTTCGAATTAACATTTTCAGTAATGGGGGCTACTATCTCCGCGGACAAATTTCACAAAAGTAAGACAGATGGCAATGATGGATCAGACTTTGATGAAAAAGTGAAGATTTTAGAAGTGGTTTTAAAATTTCGTCAATTATGTTTCTAAAGTTTTCATGAAAGAAACAACAAGTAGCTTGTTAAAATAGTGGATACCCAAACAGCAATATATGGCAAAGAACAAAAACAATTATTGAGGAGTTAGTCGGGGGTGAGGGTCTTCAAAAAAAATTATTGAGTTGTCACTGACTAATCCAAGAGCTGAATTCCAAGGAAAATAAAAACAAATACATCACTATTGAATGAATACTCAGTGCTTTTGGTCTTGCACAGAAAGAAAGAATCTGTTCAACTGTCACCAGAATCTTTTGCATTTAAAACAGGCACACGAGAGACTCTCATTTGACCTACCAAGATAGGACGCAGTAGCCTGTTTCAGAATCCTCATAGACACAACTAACTGAAGACTGACTTGAATGAAATAGAGGCAAAGGGTAACTAACAACCCCTACCTGCTCTGCAATGGTAGGGACATGGATGGAGATCACCTACGCACATCTTTTTCCATAGCTGATATAAGAAGGCAAAACATCTATGACGGTCCTTATGGCTGAAAATAATAATAAGTTTTTACTGTTTTCACATTAATTTATTTTCATAACTTTTGGAAAATCTCTCAACTTACAATCTTCTCTCCTTGATCTCTTCGCAATAGGTTATTCAAGCAGTGAAAAACAAAATAAAAATATTTATGATAAGATTTAAAACATTACTTACCTCATTTGGATTTAAAATAAATTTCAGCTCCTCCGGAGAAACATTTTTACACACAGACGCTATGAAGTACTTGACTAATGACTCTTCGACACGACAGATTTCATCACGTTTCTAAAAAAATGTATCCATGATATACTTCACACTATGAATGATCTCTTACATCTTAATAAGTTTATAAATTCATATTAATGAGCTTGTAACATACAAATAAAATAATCAAGCAGATAAGTAATTTGTTTGATTGATTTTCTTAATAAGTAGTCATTTAAACTAACTATGGATGACGAAAAATAAATTTATGTTTATATCTATATAAAAAAATTACTATAATTTAATTTTATATTATAATTATCTATTTTAATAATAATACTATATTTTATATTATAATTTACTATAAGTTATCAGATTACACATATTTAAAGAATCTGTCATCATTACATTCCTCAAGGCTTTATTAATAATGAGGAATTAAATAAAGGCCGTTTACTAACCTTATATTATATAAATTATGCTATTTAAAAAAATAAGATGACTACTTTTATTATATTGTTTTGTTAATTAACTAGAGAGGGAAAAGGAATTTTTAATCAGAATAATAACAGTAAATTCCTTTATAACTATAAAATTATATATAATCAGGTAACCATCTGAAGTGACTAAAAACAAATAAAATTTTATGTTAAAGCTCATTATTATGCTAATAAAGAATTAAAACAAAATAATGAAAAATCAATTATAAAATAGAAATAAAATCTTACACAAGGGATCCATGTATTAACACTTATAGCAGAGGAAAGATTTTCTACATAATGCCACCAATGAAATGGCACAAAGAGTACATCTCCTGGTTCTAAATCAACCATGTAAATATTTGCAATAGCTAAAAAAAACATATTTATTTCAGTTTGGGTGATTATGAATTGAAAGGTCTTTTATTATTATTACATATCACTAAAATTTTGTCTCAAATTACAAATTAATATCCCATACTATCAGATCTAGGAGGAGGGGCTTTCAGAAGCCTGCCCAGACTGAAGCCTCCCCCCAAAATGGAAAATAATATATTTTTTCATTGGTTCTTATTTGTTTTTGTGAATAATCTAAGCTAAATACTTGAACAATTACAATATATTCTCTTTTCAAATTATATGCAAAAAAAGCTCTTAAATTTAAACAGGTGTTAAGAAGAAATTTAGCTTTAAATACATTAATAAGTTCCTATATTTTTTTTTTAAGTGAAAACTATTTTAGGCCTGTTTTTCATTTTTTTTGTGGAAAGTGAATTAGATTGAGCCGTCAAATCTCTGATTTGTAACGCTCAGGTAAACACGACTGGAGTCGACTAATTGAAGAGTTTATACATATGGATTAAAATATCTCAAAAACTAAAATTCGGACCTGTATATTTTTAGTGAGGAAACTGTTCATCATTTCATCCTCTTTGTAATGAGCTATTATTCAAAAGTATACCTTAAAGTGACAACATGTTAGAGAGGCAAAAAGGGACAAAATAGTGTCATAAACCAAACATTAATGAGCTTTATTGAATATATAGATTAAAAGTCAGACCTCCATAATGTAGGCAAGGGTATTGTTCAGCATTTTATCTCCTTTATAATGAGCTATTACTTATAAGTATATTTCATATTATTAATCTTGTCTTAATTCTATCGTGTGGTCTAAAGCATACTCCTTAGTTGTTGTTTTTTTTTTTTTGTTTTTAGCCTCCAAGGATCACTTTCTCCAAAAGTAAATCCTGGTTTTAGATCTGTTAATGCCACACTGTTAGTCCGTGGTAGAGACCCTTTTTTATCGAATTATTAACATCCGACTGAAACTTCAAAAATAGTTTCATCTCATCGTAACCTACAACTATTTTATTTATGAAAACTTATGGAATAGGAGCGTTTTCAATCTGGAGGTTGGCAAACGTTGCCCATTTAATTAGGTACTAAAAACTTGTAAATACACATTTGCTTTCAACTCGGATCATAAGATAATTCGATCACGAAATCGATAAAAAAGGTGGCCTACAAAAATATTGGGCCTTTTGACCTATGTCGCCTTGTGATTTTGATAATTTGGGAGTGCAGGTCCCACCAAACAACTTTGCAACTTTGTCTATTTAATTAAATACACACTTGCTATCTATTTGGATCGTAAGATAATTTGATCACAAAATCAAGAAAAAATGTGGCCTTCAAAAATATTGAGGCATTTGGCATGACCAACACCTCCAAAAATTTTAAAATAATGAGGTTATATAGGACAGACAGCCCAATATTTGTAGGACACATTTTTTATCTATTTTGTGATCAAATTATCTAACAATCCAAGTAGAAAGTAAATGTGTATTTACGAGTTTTTAGTACCTAATTAAATAGACAAAGTTTGTCTCCCTCCAGATTTAAAATGCCCAAATTGCAAGAGTTTTCGTAAATAAAATAGTTGTAGGTTACGATGAGATGAAATTATTTACGAACTTTCAGGCAGATGTTAATAATTCAATAAAAATGGGTCTGTACCACGGACTATGTATATATGGCTTGGAGTACAATATAAGACATATTGGGATCCTACATTCAAAATAAAACTACAACTTTTCCAATTCATAAAAGAAATTTTTAGACTTTTTATTTTATTTTAATAGACAATAATACCAAGAATAAATGTTTATTATTATTATTTATCTATTTTGTGATTATTATTATCTGTGCCGGCCTTAGACATTCGGCACTGCTGAGCAATTACATCATTCCTCCTCCCCTAAAAAAATTTAATTTATTTCCTAAGCTATTTTAAATTATGTAATATTTGAATTTTATTTCATTCAATATTTCTCTAATACAGCTGCTTTATTGATAGGCTAAAATGAATTATTTTAATACGTTTTGTATTTTTTAAAAATTTCTAACAATTGGCAAGCCCCTGAAGATCGGCTGGCATCCTAAGGGATGCCTCTCCAGGTCGGTGTCCTGCAGCGATTGCCCTGAATCTAATTTTTTGGGGAGACTTTTTTATTTTTAATAATGATGTTTACTACATAAAATTATGTATAAATGGTCCTTGAAGGGAAAAAATAAATCGAAGTGTAATTACAGGAATAATAATGCTTATATATAGGAATAATTTTTATTCGTAATACATGCTTATATTTAGTAGTTATATATAAAAGAGTTATATATAGTTATAATTTAAAAAGAGTTTAAACATTAGCAAAGACCATCCACAGTAACTACTATGGACAATTGAAAAAAAAAATCTATTTTGGAACGTTTCAGCTTTACAATAAGATGCAGTTTTAAAAAGTATCTGGCTCATCTAATTTTTGTCAGACAGGATTACTATTCATTTACTTAAAAGGAGATAAACAAATAATAAAATTTATGAATAACAAATGAATGGATGAGAAATCAGAATGCTCAATGATTTTTACCAAACCAATCTGGGAATAAGTAAATAGTTGTAATTAATAATATAATATTTATATAATAATAATAATAAGTAATATATTTATTCTATTATATTGGAGGTGGTCTTTTTGAATAACACTGTTCGTGTTACTCAAAATAAATTTATTTTTTAATAAAACATAGCTCTAATAAAAAAAATATTGCCTTGATATCATCATCACCATCTGAATTAATTTGGTCACTCTCATGAGACTACTATTATTTATTAAAAATTAAAATACAGCAACAGACAGTAGTGTAATAGGACAGTAGCCAACTTCCACACTAACTATATAGAGAAAACAGCCATTATAACACTGATTATGGCAAAAAAACATTGTGTTCTACAGGTTTTTCTATTGGTCAAATAGTTTTTACTTTTAAGAACTAGAGGTATTAGAGTATTTGGAACTTTATCAATAATATCCTTGCTTATAGGAGAACTTCAGCTCACTCTACAAAATTTGTTGAGATAGAGACAATAGTAAACAAGACAGTGAGTGTTGTAGCATTCCATGGCACTTGCACCAATTTTTCACCAAGGAAATAAGACTTAATGATATGTGATCATTCGATTTTATAACCGGTACCACTACAACTGATAAAGTTGGGAAAGAAGTACTATTTCTAAGCCAACGGTTGTATAAGATGATTTGGTCAGGCCATGGCTCAAACACTAAGTTTTCAAACAATTAAGAGTACCCACTATATAGAGGCTGTGTGTGCACCAGGAAAGTCTCCCAATCTCAGGGTTATTCTTATATAACTGATTACATGATTATTTGTCACAGACTCGAATCAGGGCAAGGGAAATAGGACACTGCCTTACAGAGTCATGCCACTCCCTTTCTCAATTATATATAATGAATATATATTTTGATATAATTAATATTAATAAGTAGTAAATACTTCAGCTATTTGTATAAAAAAAATTAATACCACACCTGAAAAGTCACTACAACCACAAGAAAAATTGATTTGGCTGTAAACGCTTGATTCTTCATAAGGTACCCTTGTAGGTTTAAGGTTGTTGGTTTCAGATGGTGGAAATAAAAACCACCTCTTTCTCATAAAAAGTTTTTGAAAGAAAAAAGAAATCTTAGTCACAAAGAATTAACAAAACTTTTATAGAAATGTGCTATAGATAATAATAAAATAATAGAATAACCAATAACTGATCAAGAGCTTACTTTCCATACAATTGTGCAACTAAATTACAACCATAGGTATCTACGTGACATGGTGTGTGGGCACCTTTTGTTCCTATCCAAAGCGTAGAGCCTTTGGCTGTAATCTCAGGATGCCCAAAATCCTTCCAATTAATATCCTGAAAATAAATACAAATTATATTTCCATATAAACCTTAAAATTGTGAAATATTTAATCAAACAGACCATTTTATCTGCTTTTCCACTTAACCATTCTTCTATATGTTTATAGTCAAAATACCACCAATTCTTTAAGTTATTTTCCTCATTAAACTTTTTAAAAAAGTCAGAAAATGTCATATTTGCAATTTCACAACTCCTTTCCCATTGAGGTTCCTTAAAAAAAAACATATATATATAATGGCACCGTTGAAATGTACCATATAAAAGTAACAACTAATTGACTTTAAAATATAATTATAATTTTACAGACTTGCTAGAGCTAAATCTCGTTCAAATACATATTTATATGAAGTCATTGCTTGTTATTCTGAATAATCAAGATAAAAGGCACTGCTTAGTTAGAATATATTTCTTTATTATTACTGATTATAATTTTAATTTATAACTAATAAATTATTTAACCAGCATTACAAATAATTTGTGTAATATTATATCCATCATATAGGTACAAGTTACTAGATAGTTTATACAGCAAAGTAAAATGATGAGAAGTTTGCAATCACCAAAAATCTGGTAGTTAATGGACAATAATAATAAATTTAATTCTATTATTTATATGTCAAGTCATCTAAATATTATTGTGATGCCAGGACCATAGCCACAAAAATGTACTACCTTCACAGGTACACTTTTCTAAAGAATTCCTTAATCTTTCATTAATTCGATTACTCTATGAGTGACCAGCCTAAATGGGTGGTTTCAGGTAAGAAAAGATGATTGCATGTAATAATTTTGCAGGATGATGCTAATATAAATGAACTAAATCTAATAATTAAAATACATACATTAACAAATTATATTATATTATTAGATCTATAATAATCACAGAGAAACAAATACCAGAGAACAAAGCCTTGAACCAACTCGAAATGGGTATTTAACAGAAGAATCATTTAAAAAATAATTCCATTCATCCACTGACCAATTTAAAATATTCCAATGTAAACTATTTTTAAAAAGCAGAGGAACTTCTGAAGATGTAATTTTTTCTGAACTCATATCAGAATTAATTACAATTTTTAAAAAATAAAAACTATGATGAGAGCATTTAAAAAAATAAGCAAACGAAATATACTTCAATGACTAGATATATAAAAAGAAATGTATTAAAAATAAAGAATAAACAACTTTTTAATGGGATTTTTATTAAATATTTAATTTACTAAACAAACAATATAACCTCGACACCGAAGGTTATAAATATTCTGTTAGGATAGAGGTATTTGACAAAGAGAAAACAGTTTCATATAGCTATCCTCCATAACTTCTTGTGAAATCGCTACAATACCATAAATTTTAAACAAGCATGATTCCAATTTACACAATTTTTTGTTCATTACTTAATGATATTAAATGAACTATAAATCTATTTTTTCAAATACTATTTTCTTGAGTACATTTTCAAAAATTGCGGAAACAGAGGAATTTTAACACTTTTTTGAACACAAAGTACTAGTAAATTTACATACATAGAGCCAGCGGGATGTTTATGATTTCGTTTTAAAGGTAATAGATGTTACAAAAAAAATTGAAATCAAACAAGATATTTTTTTACTTTTTTTGAAAAAACTGTCCGTGTCTGGGAAGATATTATTAGAGAATTCAGTAACGGAAACCCTAGAGGAGAGTAAAATGAGATTGGAAGTACAGGTCTGCTGCATGGACCACCAAAGAGACCCGATAACAATCATGGAAGAAACATAAGAAAAAGACGAAGAGGGCGGCCAAAAATCTCATACATCTCCCACATGAAATAAATAGAGAGTCGCTAAAGGAAGATATAATGAGAAATGAGGAATCTTGCCACGGCGGAACCCCCACGCTGAAAGGCATATGGGTGGAAGAAGTTCAACTTTGAGAATGAATTATATATCTAATCCAATAACCATTATCAAGATATATAAACTCTCAAATCTACTACAGCTTTTATGGTGATTTTTGTTGGCTTTGGAATGATAACTATGTTGTGGTAGCGGACGTGTTTTATACATTTTTACGGGATGCTGCATAAAATTGTTGGTACCGATACTAGCATTTTGCACACCTCTGAGATCTACCTAGAGATTGTTGCCCTGTAATAATAAACGTGAGCGTGTAAAGTTCATTTCTAAATATTAACTATAGTGGATTAATGCTAGAATTAAGATCCCCGCCGGAGTAAAAATTATCTGGTTTAAAAAAACAAATTGATACGATAGTCTCAACTACGTTTCATTTAGAGCTCCACATTCATTCTCAGATGTGCCCATCCCCTCTCAAGATCAATGGCGCATGAACCATCAATCCTTTATATTGATAATAATGTATTATTGTTCTTTTCTGAAAAACTGTACAAGCGAATGTAGAATTTAAAATTTTTTAGATCATATACAATTACACTGTTTGCGGTGTGTTTTATGTTTCCACTTATCCTTTGGTTGAAATTCTCATTTCGAAAATTAAAAAAACCTGTCAAAATGTGACTCCCACAAAATTTTTAATGCCTCAATTTTCGCCATACACAATATACACGTTTTGAACTCAGGCGACCTCAAAATGCGTATTTCAGTTGAAAACTCAAATTCGAAAATATTCACGATCGCAATACTTACTTTTACTATATTTTACATTTATAGGTAAGTGAAAGTAATCACCACCTCGTATAAAAGTTTACCCGTTAAGTTTACACATTTTTATACAAATATACTGAATCCATTAGGAGACCTTGTCCAAATATTGGTGTAAGTTATGTAAAAAGTCAATATTTAATATCTTCAATGATCTGTAGAAGCAAGATTATAATGCAAGTTTTAATATTTTGCTCGTAAATTTGGTTATAAACATTAATATCAAAGACAGTAATTTCAGATATAATATTATATCAACCAGATTAGACACGGATATTAAGCTATGCTGTGGTTAGTATTTTAGTGTCAAATCAATAGAATGCGCTCCTGCCAAAGTGTTTGAAATTTATAACCTTCGAGTTATCAGCAATGAAAGATCTGATAGTTTTTTTGTTTTTTTTATTATTTAATCTAGAAGAAATAAATAAGATCTGATTATCGGTGGATTTGATATTATAAATTATAGATATAAGAATCTCTAGCACGGCAATATTTATTTTATAGTATTTAGTTGGTTCTCACTCATTATCATTTTTAAAAGGTTTATGGATCTATTTAATTTTAAATCATACTGTGATAAGTAGTTAACTTGTAATAATTTATTAATTATAAGAAAAGATACGATGAGAATAAAAAGACTAGCTGTTGTGGGTACTACACTCCTTGTCATGGTTTGCATCGGGCTGTATCTACTGCTCGACAGCACTTTAACTAATGAACAGAAATCAGTAAGAAATCTATTTATAATTATACATTGATCAGATTAAAAGATGAAATAACCATTTTTAATGTTTCTTCATGTTTGGAAGGTGAGAAGACCCAAACCCTTTCATTCTCGACTATCATATGGACACCAGGATGTGAAGTTGGAGCATACAATTAAAGTCAAAACTAATGTTTCGGTAAAACCAATATTTTAATTATTTAAATTACTCTGTTTTATCCTGAAAAACTTTCATATTAAGGAATTACTCATTCTTATTACTAATACTAAATGTTTCATGATTAGGGTAAGGAATCTCTCTCATCATGTGTTGCGCCAATAGATTTGCCAGAAGTGGATGTACAGGTAAATGCCATTTGGAACCAGCATATTGATTTCTTAATTATTTAGATTTTGTTACGTACATAATTTTCTTTGTTACAATATGATAAATTTAGGTAAAAATTTGGTGCTTGTAAGTTAGTCCATCACTACGCACCGCTAGTCGCCATTGTTTATAACCTGAACACTGATAATTCTGATGCTGATAACATCTACACTCTTATTTATATTTATGGAAATTGAAATAGACAAAAACAAATGTAATAATAACAAAACACTATTTATTTTGAGAGACGAAATAGCTTAATGCTATTTAAAATAGCGAGGAAGGACTCCTCTTCTCTGTGGACCCACTGCCACAATTAACCTGGAAATGATTGTAATTTGCTTCATTTAGTTGTTGGGTGTTGTATCCGCTCCAATAGTCAGAATATATAGCGGTTCTATACAAGCTCGACAAACTCTGCCAAACATGCATTGTTCAGGGAGCACTCTCCCTACATGATTTTTCTTTTAGGAAAGAGACTCATCTATTTCAACCAATTTTCCAGGCCCCTCCAATTTTTTTAGTTGATCTGTATAACATCTTATGGGTACAAACTTCTCTAAAAAATCTGTTCCATTCGACCACACGTTTCTCTGATAGTTTCAGCTGCTCTTTTCCCCAATCAATTGTTGTTAAATTATGAGACCAGTCGTAAATAAAATTCAAAGACGCCAAAAAAGTAATTCTTGACTGAACCTTTTTAGTTAAAATTGGAGCCTTAATTAGTTTTAATTCCTTGGCTTTTTTTGACTTGTGCTCGAAAAAAAAAATTAATTTTACCTGCTAGTTTAACCCCTACTGGAGGCTTGTATACTTTTGGAGCAAAAGTAGCAAGCAGAAGTCTGACAGTCATGGTTTAATTAATATAAGAATGATTTTATTAATCCCAATTATAGGTAATTAACCATTTGGATGAATGCTTTCTATGTAGGTTCGCTTTAGTGTGTGTATTATCTATATATGTTAATGAGCTAAAGGTGGTTTTATTAAAAAAAAATTAGTTACCATAAGATATGTTTTTTTCATGTTTTTAATAACAATAACTCATCATTACTACCTACCATAGAGCCATTTTTCTTTAGTTGACCAAAAGTAATAAGAAAATGTCACTTTATATAATTTTAATTGCTGTGTGATAATGTGCATTACAGGTTTATCTCGGCTTTCAGTAATTGGTCGAAGTGTTGTTAAGTCAGAGGGCTTAACCTTGCCTTCACTTTCTGTAATTATAATTATTTAATTTGTTACATCTTTTGTGAATCGATCCTGGGCCAGGAGACCTCCCTCGGCACATCCAGCCTCTATAACATGAAACCTGATTGTTAAGCTTGTTCCCAATCCAATCTCCTCTCTGTACAACTTGGATTAGTGCTCCCTTAGAAAGTACTGAACCAAAGACCCTTCATGGGTTGTAGTGGTACAGTTTTTTTTTTTCTACATACGTATTGTAACCCTATATATTTTTTTATTAATATCATTGTAAGTATCTTTCTTTAAAGCAAATAATCAACTTATTTTGTTCAGATGGGACATGTTTATGATCAAATTCCATTTGATAACGTTGATGGAGGTGTTTGGAAACAAGGCTGGAATGTAGTTTATGATGAAAGACAATGGAATAGGAATAAGAAGTTAAAAATATTTGTTTGCCCTCATTCTCACAATGACCCAGGTTAATTTATTATTGCATTTAAATTTAGTAGTTATGGTATCCATTTGAGGTATTAATTTTTAAATCAATCTGATTTTTAGGTTGGAAAAAAACATTTGAAGAATATTACATTTCTCAAACAAGATCAATATTAAATTATATGGTTCCTAAATTGTTGGAAGATGAAAGAAGAAAGTTCATTTGGGCTGAGATTTCATATTTTTCTCTGTGGTGGTCTGAAATCCCTCATAGAACTAAAGAAAGTGTTAAATTGTGAGTTATGTGCTTAAAATTAATTATAACTTTTTGCCTTAATTATCCTCTGTACATCACAGAAATCAGTTCTCTATATTTTGAATGTTTATATTGAACACATTTTTTTAATATTTATATTAAAAGATTGTTGTAAGATAAATAATGATTTAATCTGGTATATTATAACTTTTTAAGAAAAATGTTGTGATTTATTTTATACGTTCAATTCCTTCCTTGATCAGTTGTTATTTATTTCTTGGTGGCCCTGAGAAATAAATTTTGGACTCCCACTTTGGTTAGTACGTGGCAGTAATCTGAAGGTAGTCATCAGTGGTTGACAAAAAGGACCACCAGTTCTTTGGGGTAGTTTTCTCCACCAATACTCTGCTTAGGTCTGTTGGTGATTTTTTCACAAAATATGTGTAACTACCTAACACACTTTACACAATTCTATAACATCAGCGATAACAATTAGTTCACATTTATCAGTATTAATTATCTATTTTATATCTGTAATCTATTATTTTGTTTACTAACTGTACTGATTTGTCTCCATACCAGCTTTAGTCATTTTTTGAGCCTGTTATTTCTTTGGTGAAATGAAGGTTGTAATGTTCAACCAGCTAGTTGCTATCATCTCCATAGCCAATCTTTTTCCCCTAAACATAAAGGAGATTACATAATCATATATTGCCATTGAATATTCCAGTAGTTTTCTCTGTATTCCTCTTATAGAGAAGAGAGTACCTTTTGGACTGTTTGCCTCTAACATAAGCATCTAAGTAAGATCTTTTACACCAATGAGGCAAGAACACATGAAACTGAAAGATTCTGTATTGCTGTGTAAGAAATAAATTTTATAGCTGAAGGAGGGTGGGATTTATGTTTATATGGTTATTATATTTAAAATAAACTTAGTCTGTTTTACTTTGAAATATTTTCAGATTATTGTCACGTGGGCAGTTGGAATTTGTTACTGGTGGCTGGGTGATGGCAGATGAAGCTAATACTCATTATTATTCCGTCATAGAACAATTGCTGCATGGTCATCAATGGCTATTGAATAACCTGGGCTACAAGCCAAGGTACGTTTTAAATTTTTTTATTTTAATTCTTTTTAATTAATAATTAAGTTACTTGAGGTATACTCTAGGAATCTCAAATGCTTACTTTATATTCACTTACTTAATTTAGGTTTCTAAGGGTCTATAATTATATTTATACTTAATGCATGCTAATATCATAACAATTTTCTGAAGAGTTTGTACCTTATTGTTATAGACATAGTTGGTCTATTGATCCATTCGGCCTTTCACCTACATTTCCATATATTTTAAAGAAATCTGGATTCAAAGCCTTAGCAGTTCAAAGAACTCATTATGAGGTAAAGAAATACCTTGCTCAACATAAACAGTTGGAATTTAGATGGAGGCAGCTATGGGGTAAGTTTAAAAGTTTACTTTCTTATTTATATATATCAAAATAAAGTTAAGATTGATAACAAACCTTTCATTCTTGTATTATATTATTATTGCAAGATTGAAATCCTATCTTTTAATGTGAAAAATATATTGTTTTTTCACACCTTTAATATATTAATCCTTATTTTCTTTCACCATCATGTATATAGTCCATTTATGTATATTTAGATAATAATGGCTGGACTGAATTGATGACACATATGATGCCATTCTATAGCTACGATGTACCTCATACTTGTGGGCCAGATCCCAAAATTTGTTGTCAGTTTGATTTTAAACGATTACCAGGATATGGTTTGTCATGTCCATGGCATGTACCTCCTCAAAAAATTACTGAAGAAAATGTTGCACAAAGGTGAGAATGTCTTCAACAGCTGAATCCCTTTGGTTTATGTTCTTACATAAAATAATGTAGATAAATTCTATATTGTTATTATATTTAAAGTTATAAACTTTTATTTGTTCAATGAGCAAGAACAAAAATGTCACGATAGAGGCACTGTATTTGGGGCATCAATACATATAAAAATTGTTACTTACACTGTACTAAAGTACCCAGGATTGTATACTGTTCAGGTACCCAGGCTTTCAGCCAATAAAGTTTATCCTTAAATTAATATGATAGAAATAATATGAGGCTGGACCTCTAAAATCAGTAGTTTGTAACATTAGTTTGATATTTTAATCAATAGCCAATTGCAAGGAACTGTAAAAACTAATAAATCTTGGAAATGACACACTCAAAAGTATGCGTAGAGTAGAAGAAAATTTATTTTTTATTTTTTAGTTAGTATTTTTTGTTTAAATTTTTAGGTCTGAGCTACTTCTTGATCAGTATAGGAAAAAAGCTCAACTTTATGCTACGGATGTTCTCTTTGTACCCTTGGGTGATGATTTTAGGTATGATCATGCAACTGAATGGGATCTTCAATACACAAATTATCAGAAAATATTTGACTATATCAATAGTAATCCTCATCTAAATGCTCATGTAAGTTTTTTTTTATCAATTTCTGGTATAGTTTAAGTAAAACCGAGGATCATCTTATCCTCTATTGTTGATATAACATTAAATAATCAGATAGCTATAATACTGAATGAGCAATTTTTTGCCCACATTTAAAACCTACAGAAAATTTTATAACTATATTTATTTATTAAATTAGGTCTCGTTCATCATATTTTAATCTTAATTTTTATTTTTATTTAGATAATAAACAGCTTTTGACTATAGTATTTATATGAGAATTTTCTACTGAAAAAAACATTTATTAAAAAAAAAATTAAAATTGAATCAGATCTATTATATTACTTCAATTTATAATTTGGTATTTAAATTAGTACTATTTCTCAAATGTCACGTCTCTTTGATAGTTTGATCAAGATCACAATGAACACACTGTACATAGAGTCCCAAAAGTAGCTGGGTGTGTCAAAATTTTGTGGAGGCGACGGATCTCCATATCTTCCTTAGAAATAAATTATGGAAAGTATCTGACTAGAATCCTGGGTAAACCCCTGACCTCAACTGAAAAGAACCCACCTGTGAAATGGTTGTCAAGTTGTGGTTTTGGTTTAAAAAGGTTCTGACTGCATTTACTATAATTTTGAGAAAAAGAGCTTCAAAGTTACAATTGACTGTGGTATGAATATTTTGTTAATTAAACTAACAATTTTGTCTGTACAATACCTTAATCCTGTGAGTTGTATTCGTTGATGATATACGTAGTCTCTGAAATAACCGATTCAAATATGTTATATACAAAGAACAGGTCTTTACTAATAATGTAAATGATAATAAAATTTCCTGTTTAATGCTCTTTAAAATAACTACTAAATCAAGTAATGTATTGCAGTTAGAACCATGTCACACTGCTAGTTTCTTTATTTTTCAACTGATGGCCCTAAAATTCATTTGGGACACAGATAACTTTGTTGTGATTGATTTCTCAGTGAAAACTAAATTTTCTCAAATTTGTTAGTTAAAATATTTTCAAACCAAGGCCAATAAGTGAGTGCTTCTTTGAAAATTCTATCTAGGATGTGATTGGTGTGATCTTGATCCTACTACCAACCAGACATTTAACATTTAGTACCATTTAAATGTTAAAGGCTCTGTTCGATATCAGTTTCCTTCCCATACATAGAATGTTTAAAAATAGTTTTAGATTATTTGATGAACTACCTCACCTTTTGAAATATTCTTTACCCTAGTTCCACTTTGAAATGAAGCACTGTTAGCATTTTGTTTAATCAAACTTACCAAATGATATTGTTAAATATTTTATAATACACAGGCACAATTTGGAACACTGAGTGATTACTTCAATGCACTTAATAAAGACAAAGCGTTCAATGAATTTCCGACGCTTTCAGGAGATTTTTTCACTTATGCAGATCGTGAAAATCACTATTGGAGTGGATATTTCACATCACGTCCTTTCTATAAAAGAATGGATCGTGTTCTCATGTCATATCTTAGGCAAGTTTTTTTTTATATTATTGACATACGATAACTTAATTTTTTTTCTAGATAACTTAATTTTTTTTCTAGATATTCATTTTTTTTCCGTTCTATATAGAAAATCATATATATTCTTATTTTTAAATTTCTTGATGTATAGTGTATCAAAAGTTGTAAAGTTCATGCATATTTGTCTTGATTTTTTTCTATTAAAACAAAATTTTATATATTGGCACATTACAAGTAATAAGTGGAACCTATAACGTTCTTTAGTATATAAAAAAGTTGTTTGATAATCATTGCTTGGATAAAATGATGAACAAGAGGAACTGATTGAAATAATCATAGTCGAAATATAAAACCTTTTATTACTAATATTTCATACATGTGAAAGATGTAATAATTATAAAGTGATAAGAAATGCAATTTAAATTGTCTATTTATCTAATCTGAAATTATAGTTGATGGGATTCAGCTAAACATAAACTAGGAAAGAATTTGATGATTAAAGAAAGGAGAAATATTCTCTCAAGTGGAAAACTAATTTCTGTTATTAAATATATGTACAATATATTGTCTGGAACATAAAAATTAATATCTGTTGTATATAGTCATAAATGAATCATAAATAAAAAGAAATGGAGAGTGATGATTTCTGACTTCTCCTTTTAATCATTGGTATTTACCTAATATCCCCATGTTTCTATTAATATAAAACATACTATTATAATATGAATTATACTCATGAAAGAGATGATTATGATCTGCCTTAAATGATTTCTGAAAATTAATATATTTAACAGAAACTAAATGAAATTTCCAAACTAAAAATATGTAATAAATTCAATAATTAAAAAAACATTTTATTGTACTTTTGTGAATGAATACATTCATGCCACTGACAATTTTTCAAGTTGAGTTTACGTGTTGGTAAAACATATTGTAATAAGTTTTTAGCTCCAATAATATATTTAAATAATTAAACATTAACTAACCCATTTGAGCATATATTTAACTATTTAAGTAGGCTTGTAAGAAGTAAATTAGTTAGTGATATTAATTGAGTTATGATTTTATTTTTATTTTTAGGAGTGCTGAAGTGATTCTGAGTTTATTAGCTAGAGAAAATAGTCAGTTGAAGATCATTCATCATTTAAATTTGAACCTGACTGATGCAAGATCTAATCTATCTCTATTCCAGCATCATGATGGTATCACTGGCACGGCGAAAGACCATGTTGTACAAGATTATGCTGCTAGGTAAAGAGATTAAGTATTATTGTACAGATTTGAAACCATAATATAAAATTATTTATTTCTTTATTATTACAATTGACCATCAAGATGTGTCATCAAATCCTATTTTATATACATATCTATACATTTTTAAAGAAATATGTGTTTCTGTAAAAACAAAAGATGTCTTAAGATTTTCCTCTTCACTAAATTCTGCACTGTATCCTTGTGAAAAATATTTTAATCTTCTCTTATAGTCCGTGGTACAGACACCTTTTTATCAAATTATTAACATCCGCCTGAAATTTTTTAAATAGCTTCATCTCATCGTAAACTATAAATACTTTATTTACAAAAATTCACGGGAATTGGGGCGTTTTTAATCTGGAGATTGGCAAATTTTGTCTATTTAATTAAGTAGTAAAAACTCCCCATGTAAATAAGTAAATGCCCATTTGCTTTCCACTTTGATCGTAAGATAATTTGAACACAAAGTCAAGAAAAAAAGGTGACATACATAAACAAAAAAATAGAGTAAGTGAATAGTCAAAATAAAAGAAATTATAAGTTACTTTCTAATTAAATCAGTTAATAATGAAACATTGAAAATAAACATGAAGTAAAAATAATGAAGAACGATCTGGTAATTCATATTCATATTTACAGTAGTAACTATTTACAATTTCATGGGGACTGGATGGATAAGAAATGATTGAACAGGCGGGTTTTTAAGGTAGGAAGGGTTTTGGATTGACGGATGTCGGGAGGGATGGAGTTCCATAGGAATGAGGATCGGATAATGAAAGATCTGTGGAAAGCAGCAGTTCGGTGGGCCCTTATGTATAAATCAGAAGACCGGGAACGAGTATTGCGGGAACGAACAGAAGATTTGAATTAAAGGAGCTTGGAGATGTATGAAGGATGGTGTGATTGGATGACTTGAAAAAGGAAGGATGCCAGGAAATACTTATGATGGTAGGAAGGATAAAGCCACTTCAATTCTGGATAAAAACGGGAAACAGAGGCGTCCCATGTGATCCCGAAGATGAATTGTACAAAGCAATTTATCAAACATTTTAATTTTGCCTTGAGATCCCCAGAGTCGTCCCCATATACCGTACAGCGTTAGTCAAAGTGGGAAAAAATTAAAGAAGTTACTAGGAGCCTACGGGTTTCAAGCAGAAATAGGTGACAAGAGTAATTTAAACGTTTTAAGGTGGAAATGGTACGGCGGGAGATGTTGGATATATGATTTTTCCAGGAAAGCGTTTGATCAAAGATCAGTCCAAGGTTTTTGATGGAAGGATAGAATTTGATGAGATTATCATGTAAGAACAGAGTTGGAATATTAGGAACAATTTTAAGGAGGTGATTGGAGCCTATTAAGATTGCCTTCGTCTTTTCTGCATTCAAATTTAACTTGTTAGCTCTTGTCCAGTCACAAATCCTGTCCAAGTCTTCTTGAAGTTTTTCTGTGGCTGATAATAAGTCGGTGGGCGGGCAGGACAGATATAGGTCAAACGGCCCAATATTTTTGTAGATCACCTTTTTTATCGATTTTGTGATCGAATTATCTTATGATCCAAGTTGAAAGTAAATGGGCATTTACAAGTTTTTAGTACCTAATTAAATGAGCAAAGTTTGCCGACCTCCAAATTGAAAATACTCCAATGCCATGAGTTTTCGTAAATAAAATAGTTGTAGGTTACAATGAGATGAAGCTATTTATGAGGATTCAGGCGGATGTTGATAATTTGATAAAAATGGGTAAGTAGCGCTGACTATTAATTTAAGTTTTTTAGAAATGTTGCTTCTTTCTCAAGTGCTATTTCATACTTTCTTTCTTTCCTTTATTCCCTATGTTTAAACAGTATGTGCCTGAACCGTGGGGCTTTTGGTGCTTTTCAAACTTTGCAATTGCTCTCTTTTTCAGTTTTCACAAGCTTGAGATATTTCTTTGTGTGCCTGTGATTAGTCCATAGTCTTACAATTTGTACTATATTTTGTCGCTGATTCAACTCCATTTTGTTTGTAACTCCCAATGGTATCGATCTTGTCATTCCTTTGTTGCTTCTTTCTTTAATGAACTTAAATGATCCATCATGGGTACCTTGGTACTCTGTATAATAATCAAAAACATAATAACATGCAACAACTACTGCAAATTTCAGTGTATACCAAGCCACGTAGGCGTGTCTGAGAAACAAGGCTGCTGACAGCTTCTAGGATAAGACAAACTGTGAAAGAGAATATAAAATTATATTTTACATTGTTGCATTATAGTCAGGTACTTTAAAAATTCGAAACTAATTTATTAATTGAGTGATTATGAAATTTAAAATATTTTTATTGAGTCTAATTTTGGAGTTTAGCTTTTCATTCTAATTAAATTTTCATTGTTGCAAATTTTTCTGATTATAGTTGTAATATGTATTTAAATTTCATACTATGGGACTTTAATTTTGTTTTTCAGAATGCTCAAATCTATCCATAAGTGTCAGCATGTTATTCAACTTTCTGCGTGTGCTTTACTGAATAATGGAAAGGTAACTAAATATAGATTAAGTTCTCAACAATATGACATTTTTTTATTTAAACTTCATTCATTTTAACTTTTTTTTTTCTAAATTTCTCATTCTTAAATGATCATCCTTCACATCCTTTTTCCTCAGTCAGACACTTATTACTGTAATTCTGTTTATTTGTAAGGCACCAATTACCTAATATCTTTGTTAATTTTGTTTATTATAAAGTTCCATACGTTAATAGAGAACTATGCTGTTAGGAATGTCTTTATTTAATATTTGCAACGTCAATTTTATCATATAGGTTATAAAATATTTGAAATAATTTATTCATTGTAACAGAATGATTGGTAATGTACTACTTTTATTACTAGTTACTAGTTAATTACAATAATATATTTTCCTAATTTCAACCGTCAACCTAGAGTGATCATAGTAAGTAAGAAGTTCTTGCTGTTCTTTACCGAAAGCTTTAAAAATTACCTAAATAAATATTGAAAATTATTTACTTAATATACAAGTTAATTTTCTCTTGCTCTTAACTTAAAACACCACTAATGGGGCTCTTCTCTGATGAGATCAGACAGATAAAATTTTGTTTATTTTTCAATACATAGTTACTAGTTGTAACACTACAAGTTATATGATGGTTTTAAAATTAACTAACACTATTTCCAATTCAATGTCTTCATCTAAAAATTAATTATTATTATAATTGCATTTAAAATATATTGTTTAAAAACATAATCATCTTCTGAATGAAAGCCAGATAACCAGTAAAGGTATCGTGTATAGTTTATAGTTCTATAAACTATAGTTACCTGTATTGTGATTACGAATATTTCAAATTGTTTCGTTATTTCAGGCTGTTGAATATACTGGTAAGGAGATATTTTTCACTATTGATGAACATCAAAAAGTACCCTATGATTTAGCCGAAGGTATAGTTCTTACTTTCCCTTCCGGGGTTTCATCAAGGAAAGTTTTCATATTTAATCCATTAACTTCTAACAGAATAGAAGTGATTTCAATAAGAGTTGAAAATAAACTGATTCAAGTAAGTTTGGAATTATATTTTAATTAGAAGTTTAGGCATTTGTAATTAAATGAAAACCCAAAATTAGTGGTGATGGATCTTTTCTTCCTACATGTGTTTACAAATTTTTATGAGTAATCATTAACTAACAGTAATAAAAAAAATTAATAAAAAAAAAGATTGATTTGGTTTTATTGACCACTGCCATATTTGATATTCTTATATGCTTGAGATGATGATGTTATTAATTTAGCTTCCTTAATTCAATCATAGCTCCCTACATGCAGCTTAATTTTTGTATTATAAAATAATTTTTTTCTTGCTGGCACCTAGACCATTTTGGAAAATATTGTTTCAAAAACCAATTTTTTAAATGATTAAAGCGAAACCTTATATATTTTTCTAAAAACTGGAATAAACCAGAGATTGAAACTTTTATTTCATTTTAACTATTTCCGTGAAACGTTTTAGGAAAAAAAATTCTGTTTTAACAGTTTCTGAGAAACTTCATAGGAAAAGAGTTCTTGAAACTTTTTTGTAATAAATTTCCATGTTTATAGTAAAAGTTTAACTTTTATTTATTCAAGTTATTAAAAAAAGTTCCATTAAATGAACAATAAACAATAATTGGACTTGGATTAGAGTTAAAATTTGTCTTAAATAAATAACACGTGATCATTTTAATGTATCGTTTGTTTGAGTGGCGATGAATAAAAGTAATTTTTTAGATCAACTTTTTAACGAAATGGACAGAACTTTTAAATATAAGTTATGTAAAATCTTTACTTGAAAATTTGTAAGGGAGAAAGTTCTAGTTCCTAAAGAATAAAAAAACTATCGATAATAAAAATTCCCTTGATACCGAAACTTTTTAAAAATAATTTTTTTTTTCTGTTTCAAGTTCTGGAAAAGCAGTACCTTTTATTTAATTAAGTTTGTGTTTTTCTAGTGGTGCTTGTTTCTGTAGTAGATCTTCATTCATTTTTAGTTAGTAAATTTTAATATTTTAAAATTACATTTGTATTTTAAATAAATTTATTGTGACTTCTTTTACAGATCCGTAATGCAGAGGGCAAGATAATCGCTCATCAATTGAGTCGTATTTGTACATTACATAGAAGCAATGCAGGTTGTTATCTATTATCTTTTGTTGCTCATCTCAAGCCTCTCTCATTATCATATTATTCAGTTGAAATAGCAGAAGAGAACAGGTATCTATTAAATCAGTGTAAATATACCTCATTTTTATGTTTCAATTATATAGGCTTGTTCCTGAATTTTACTCATTAAGTACATACACTGCTTCAAAAACGTTTTCATACAGTTAGTTTTTCTTTAACATTGCTATTAATCTATTGAGGCTTCTTCCTCCAGATTTAATTCTCACTCCAAGATATTGTACACCTTTTCCATTTTTAAAATCATAAAATAAAATAACTCAACTAATATTCTTTTTTTTTTTCTTTTCTTATAAACAGTCCTTTTAATAATGTGTTCTTTAGTTTAAATGTCACCTATTCCAATGTACAAAATTTTTTGGTTTCCATTAAGTTTAAATGTAAATTTAAAGTAAACATTTATTTTATTTTTTCTCTATTGACACTAAGTCATTAAGATATTTGGGACCACCTTATGGTCTTCTTGGAGGCCTTATTGCGATGACAGATCATCCTACACAGAATATGTTCATCACTCTTATGCTCAGGTCAGTGTGAGTTACCTGAGGCTGATGAATCTCATATACTCGAGAAATTTTTCTGAGAATCTTGAACTGTGTGGCTTTCCCCAGTGGGCGGTCATGCTAGCACTGTACCTAATATGCTTGATTTGACATTGCTTAACTTTCGATTACCTATGTGCTCTTTCGTCATTATTTATTTTCATGATCATATTTTGACTTTTCAACTCCTTATATATGTACGAAAATACATTGTCTACATTTGTGTAAACAATAGATAATAATAATAAAAAAAGATCAGTCAAATAATTCTTAACTCTTAAAAAACTTTTTGAATCATAAAACTGAATTTGAGAATAACATTTTATTTTTTTTTTTCAGAAATAATCATGCAAAGTTGAGCTTTTTTGATTCTGCAAATCTTGGTGTATATGATGAAGATTGGGAAAACAAACAGGTGATAAATTCAAGGGAGTTCTCCTTTCAAAACAACAATATTTCTGTTGCATTCAGCCAAAATGGCTTATTAAAAGCAATCACGATTAAAAAACCTGATAGGAATGTTACTATCCCTGTACATCTGGATTTTCTTCAGTAAGACTAGAACTATCTTTATTAATACTTCACATTAGCTTGTTAAATTTAATTATTAACTGATTTTCTTTGATTAGTTACTCAACAACGCATGGCCGTGAAAAGAGTGGTGCATATTTGTTTTTGCCTGACGGTGAAGCGCAAACAATAAAAGTAACTAATCCGAAAGTGATAATAATTGAAGGAAAAGTGAAATCTGAAGTTATTGTGAAGTTCCCTAACGTTGAACATTCTGTGATACTATATAATAGTGATGGTATTTATTTTTGTTTTATGTACCATAATCAGCTTCTAGTGATTAGTTTAGATATTTTAAGCTTTAGTGGATAGACCATATCAAAATTAAAAACAAACATCATTTTCATACTGTCATAATACTGTTCTATTTGCCAATGTATGCATTGCTGTATGTGTTAGTATAGTCACCTTTATTTAAAAATTTAAAAACAGAGAGGCATACATAGCCATCCAAGATCAAATATAACCTAAAAATTCATATATATGTGGTACCCCTGTGAAAAGTATGTTAGGTACAATTTTGTGAATTTTTGGGGTACTCTGATATCTCCTTCTTTGTGCCTAGCAGGCTATAAACTATGCAGCTATTACAGAGATGAACATTCCTTTGTGAATCAGGGATTGAAACTCCAAAATTGAACTCACACCTCTGAAAATTCTGAACTATCCATTGCGTTTTTTCATAAATATGATTTTTGCCCTCCACGCACTATGCACAGAAATAAATATTGTAGTGTTTTATTTATTTAATAATGATAAAAAGGCTCAACTAACCCGAAGGTTCGATGCTGACACCACTAGTTGAGTTTTACACATCTCTCTCCATCGTTCACCATCCAAACCCAGTTCCACCAGATTACCCTTAAAGTGATCCTCCCACCTTTGCTTTATCTCTCCAGTCAGTACAGCACATATAACCTTTTAGGAATTCTTTCGATGCCAAGCCCAACAATTTTACACATCCATTTTATTTGTCGCAATATAATCACTTCAATTATATTAACTGGATACAGTTCACACAAATTTAGCATTTTGTAACCATTTTTTTTTTTCTTCTCCCCTAGCTTGCCTTTTAGGCTATAAGGGGGTTTTGCTGGGCAGAAGATTTAAAAGATTCCCGATTTTAAACACCGAGACGCAAACTCGTAATTTTATTGTCTCCAACTTCGGTTATCAGGTTGCCAGGCAACGCGTGGTGCTGTGCACACACACGTTAGCCCGTTTGGCCCCCCTTCCCCCCGCCCCTCCAAAGGAATATGGTGGAACCATTCTTGAACTGGGAAACTTCATCATATCAGAATAGTATGCGAACCACTATACTATAGGAGTGCTGCTGTGTAACCACGTAAACTCTCAGGTTGACTTATTCTTCTTAGGTCCGAATTTTCTACACAATACTTTATTTTCAAAAACCTTAGGGTGTTGCTCATCCCTCAATGTAAGCGGCCACGTTTCACGTTTATAAAGAAGAACCGTAGATAGGATAATGGTTGTGTGAATTGTAATTTTTAAATTTCATGATAGGAGACGCTAAGTAGTTTTGTGACGAAAAAATAACAAGCATTTCTCACTTTTAGCATAACCTTAATTTCCTCTACAATTTTTTATTTGCTCTCTTGATACACACATCGCTACTACAATTATTTTTGAAGGGGCAAAATATTACATTTTCCATGAATTAAATAGTCGGAACAAAATTTCCTGGAATTTTAGTTTAAAAAATATTTCATATATTATTTATCTGTTAAAGTAACATTTTAATTTTTCCAACTCTTGTTGATTTGAACTTTTTACTTGCCTGTTGCCAATGTTGTCACTTTAAACAATAATTTTCTTTTCTATTCAAACACAACATTGTATTGATAAAATTCCAATTCCTTATATTGAAAGGTATTGGTATTGCTTTTCAATTTTAGTGACGGAGTGCAAATTTTTACCATAATTTTCACAGTTTGTTGAAGTATGTTCTTCAAACTGAAATTTCCCAACTTTTTTATTTTTAAAATTTTTGTGGATGGAAGAGTGACCTGAAGTTTGTTGCTGGTATTAGCTGCCCTGGCTACGCTCCTGAAACTATCCTATGATTTCTAATGTAAATTATATTAGAATTTTTAGTCTGATATGATCTTTATTTTTTTTTTCTATTTAGTTTTATAATTTGATATTTATTTTTTTGATTGCTGATTCATTTTAGCATAAACATAATTAGTGCTAGGTACAAATTTTATTATAAAAATAAGAATTTGTTATCTTTCTAATTCATATTAGCTTTATCATTGTCTAACTATATTTTTAAATAAAGGTGAGTAAAAATTCGTAATCTTTACAAACTATCAATAATTTGTAACATAAAGATACTGTTTCACCCATAACTATTCACATCAGTAATTTTTAAGCAGATATTAATATTCAATATCTTGACTCTTAATATTAAATTTTATAGCAGATATATGTTTGTAAAATGCTTTTATGATAATAATATTATTTATAAATCTGGGTATTAGGTCCAGATGATTTGGGTATTGAGATTAGGAATCTCGTGGACATAGCGTCTGTTGAAGAAAATTATGAATTAGCTATGAGATTTTCTACTAATATTCAGAGTGGTGTTCAATTTTATACAGATCTCAATGGATTCCAGGTAAAAACTTATCTTTATGCCTTGTTTTATTATTTCTAGAAATGAATTTGTTTATTTCTTAATTGTTTCATGTTTACAATATGCAACTTGTGATAAATGCTTAATGTGTTATCAGCTATAGAAGGGCAATGTGTGTTCTAGAAATAAAGTTTTCTGAGTTATTGCGATTGGTTCGTTTAAATAATGTTTGATTGATTTTTAAAGTGATATTATTCATCTCGAAGTTCATTGAATTTTCCACCATTATTGTTTGTAAATTTTGTCACATATGTGATTTAAAATCACATCTGTCAAAACATTCACCCCAGCCGTGTAACACCAACAATTTAGATAGTTAATAGTAACTAAAAAAAAAGTCTATATATACGGCTCAAAAATGAACAGGCATATTGTTAGTTATGTATGATTTATTTTCTCCAGAATTTTTTTAAAATAATCAAATTTGTTAATTTTTAAAAGTTAAAATTATAAATAAGATTCTATAAAATTTTATAAAAGGTGTTTTAATAAAATTAATAGTTTTTGTGATCTTGTTTTTATCTGCTGGTGACGCACTGATGCTGCAGGTCGTCTCAAAGAGGCATAAGATGTTAGACCAATTTCCCACAAATAATTACGAATGGCTTGAGTTGATATGGGTTTTGGCAGAACATTAAACACTTCATTTAGGCTCTGTTGAGAACTAGGAAAATAATATTACGTAACTCGGTAACATAAACAATGGCTATCCTTGTGATAAATTTTCATTTTTTATGGTAGTTCAGGCCCATCCAATATAGTGAAGAGCTTTAAGTATATCGGAGAGAAACATGAATTGCTGCGGTGGCATGGATGTGTCAACTTACTTAGCACTGACTGCATCAATATACATATTATTAGTTGATCATTTCTTTCTTGTTAATTTGTTTTATCTGTTATAGATGATCAAAAGAAAAAGATTGGATAAATTACCATTGCAAGGCAATTATTATCCTATGCCTAGTGCAGCTTACATCCAAGATAAAAATCTAAGGCTTACTATTGTGTCAGCGCAACCCTTAGGAGTCTCGTCACTTAATGAAGGTCAAATAGAGGTATGAGTAATGAAGGTATTTGGTAAAATTGAGTGTTTAAATGTATGTATATATAATTTATTGACATAGGTTGATTAGTATATTTAATTAAATAGTTATTTAAATATTACTATTCAGCAACTGTCACACATCAATGAACTACTATGGCAATAAGTTAATTGATAGAAATTTCATCATCCTGGATCATTGTTATTTGTTGTGGACCAACTTCATTCATTACTTCTTAAGTCAATGAAATTTCTTCTTTTTTAAATTATATTTAAAAAAGCTGAAATCTAATGGACATGGCTATATTTAAGTTTTAACTTCAGTATTTTCAACTTAGCTTCGTCCAGCTCCACCTTTGAATTATAATGTCAATTTTATGAAATGAGAAAGCATAAAAGTGTGCTTACATTATGCATGCTAAATAATTGGAAACAATTGTTCTTAGCTAGAGTAAAAACTATGACAAGCTTCACACAAATGTTACTTCAGCAAAATCAAAAGACTTCACAGATGGTATAAGATAGTAAAAGACTAAGAAACTCCTGTTGATTTGATTAAGGCTAAAATAAATTCTTGAACTTCTTTGATAAAATTAATAATATATAATCTGATGATATATGGCAATGTTCTTTAAATTTCAATTGTTCTTTGGTCACGTAGAAATCATAAGAAATTTCTGGTTTTAAAAAAATGAAGTGTTGTTTTCTCTTTTTATTAATGAAATAATAAGCACAAGCACGGGGGGGAGGGAGGGGCTTTCGGGCTGAAGCCCCCCCCCCCCCAAAATGGTAAAATATAACCATGTTTTATCGAAAAAAATATTAAAAAAGTATCTCTTAAAGTATTAATGTTCGTGTAATTACATTTAAAAGGGCTTTAGGGATCACTTAAACACCATTTCATATAGGTAGTTAGTTTCTTTCTTTTTTTCCAAAGTAATTATCGTTATTTTTATGAAAAAAACAACTTTCGGGCTTAAGCCCCCCCAAAAATAAATCCTGGATCCGCTACTGAGCACAAGAACGACACTTGCATGACTTGTCTTTCTCATCTCATTTATTTTTAAGCTTAAATGGTATAAAGTATTTACAAACTTACTGATATTTGAAAATGTTTGATTGGTGATGACTTTACCAACACTTCATTGTGAATTTGTGACATTTGGAGGATATGGATTTTCGGAGTTGACAGATATACCTTAAGACTGCTAAGAATATATTTAAAAAAATAAAACTGCAGTTTCTTGAATAAGATGAGAAGTTGTATCCTTATTGGGAATGACTGTTGTGAATTAATGTAACATTAAACTGAGTAGAAAGAAACCTGATATTAATATTTTTATATTAAATAAAATTTGAATTTATTTTGTAGATAATGCAAGATCGAAAATTACTGCAAGATGATAATAGAGGTTTGGATCAATCTGTAACTGACAACCGTCCAACCTTATCTATTTTCAAACTTTTTGTAGAAACTAAGACACCAGGATGTGGCGTGAGTTTTTTTTCTTTCTTTTCTAATATAGTTATATAAATTATTATAAGACAGTATATGGATTGCTCACTTTAACCATCAATATAAAAATAGATAAAATTGAAAATTATCATCAAAAGAAGTAATTAGAGTAGAGTCATTGTATGACTGGTCTCATATCAAAGGCCTGTCATATAATGATATAACATATGTCATATAACATCTGTCATTTTTAAAAAAGTTTATAAAAAGCCAATTTTCTGTAATTTAGCTTCAATTTAAACAAATTCTAATGATCTTCATGTTCTATCTTGAAAATTCTTAAATAAAATCAACAGAAATAGTTTGAATTGAACCTACAAAACAAAAATTTACTTTTTATTTACTTTCTGAAAATGACAGATGTCTGTCTTTGATATGAAGCCACTCATATGAAAGAATAATATACAAGTTAACAACAAAGTAGCTATATTTGTTAATATTTTGAACATAATAGACGAAAAGATATCAATCAATGTCATTGTTTACTTTCTATATATATGGTATGAATGTTATATATTGGAATATGCAGCCACATTTTTGCTGCTCAGTTTCCTTTTTAAGTTGTTTTATATAAAATTAAACTTATTCTTATCTTGTCATCCACTGTATAATTAATATATAGTGCAAAAATTTACCTTATAAAATACTCTGCACTTTTGGAGGATGAATTAATCACAAAAATTGAGTTAATTAATGAATTAACTACAAAAAAAAAAAAATTGGAATTGATCTTTTTCAGACCTCTCCTCCAATTCACTGTTAAGATTTAAACAAAGAAATATCCTTATCCCAAATAATATTTAGTGGTTGTATTTCCCTTAAATGTTACAAACCGTAATATACACCCACCACTCTGATTTATGCTTTTCGATTCACATGTACACAACTGAAGAATTGATACTTGTCCTCTTATTTTAGTTTCTTTTTTAGGTGATTATATTAAAAACTAAACTGTTGCTTTGACATTTTTTCCAGACTGGTTTAGTCAAAGACTCATCTAATCTAGTTTGACTTACTAGTTTTAATCACCTTATCAGCAGTAATTTTGAGTGTCTCATTCCCTTACCATTTGTTGAATACAGACCTATAAAAATTTATTTCTAGGGAAATTTTGATTAAAAAAAATCAATTAATTTAAAAAAAAAAATTGTCTTTGATTTCAGGAAAGTGATTTGCATTGGGGTCGATTGAGTGAAAATTCCTATACCAGTTTGCAGAAACTTCTATATCCAGTTCAGAAGTTGTTATCTTTTGATCAGAATTTAAGCATAAGCAATAAGGAATATGTCGCTCCAATTTTACCTCTCCCAGCTAATATCCATTTGATTACATCTCTAGTTTTACCAGGGGGTCTGGGTGTCCTACTACAGTCAACTTCGATTGATAATTGTTTTGAATCTCAGTCGAATCTCAAAGAAAACAATAAGGTAATTATAGATTATTTTTAATAGAATAAATTAATTAACAAATCTATCTTAAAAGATCTGTTTAAGGGTCAGTCTTCCATTTCGCACGAAATTCAAGTTTTGAATTTCATAAAAAAAAAAAGTGAACTGTGAACATAAATTTTTTCCATGATTCACTTCAATATAAGCTCGTAATCATATTGATAAAAAATACTTTTATAGAGATCAATCTAAATAAAAATAAATCATGAAGGCAAGGGGGCGACCTCTTTGGATTCCGTGTTATACAAGAACCAAATTAATGATTTATACATCACAGATGAATTTATAGTTCATATTGAATATACTAATAAAATTCAAAGTTATAAGGTAATTACATGAGTTATGAGTGTAAATATTTAAAAGGCATAAAATGCTACCACTTTTCCTCTAAATCTTTGAATAATTTCATATTACCCATCCTACCAATGGGGCCCCAAAACATTAAATCTCTCCCACGGCTTCAAAATGTCTAGATTACATGAAATCTATTTTCATTAATTTTGGTGATGTGGTGAAATTAGAATGGAGCGAAATAGAAATTTGAAGTTTTATGAAGGTTTAACCATCCTCATACATCTCTCAGGAAAAGCGAAAATTGGATTACTGAACCCTTGACGAAATACAGATTTGAAATGTAAACAATTTTGTGTGTGCTTCACATAACTTTCACTTACCTCCATTTTTTTTTCAGCAGAAATGAGTATTTTCAGGTAGGAGTGAAAGTAAAAATTACAGAGAGCACCAAATATTTAAAACAATTAACTACCATATATTTTTCACAACCCTCAAATGCTTTATATTTTTGGAATCATTTATTTTTTACAACTGTATATTTTAATTATTTATTTGATTATAATAAATAATTAAATGCCATGAAATATTTTTCCGACAAGAGTGCCAATATATTTAATTCATATTTCATTGTAGATATTTTTATTTGTTTTCATTGGTATATACATATATACATTATAATTTTTATATTGCTGTATCTATTCAATTCAAATTTTTCTAACCTTTCGGCCAAGCTCGGGTTTCTTCAGTTCTTTATAATGATCCCTTATTTCTGTTTATTATAATTATGTATTTCTTTAGTTAATTATGAAATTCTTTTATATTTAATCATTTTTCTGAGCTGGTTAAAATGGTTTATTATTTCAAATAAAAAAATTAAAGCTACTTTAGAGAAAGAAATTTTGAAAATTAGTCATTTAAGCCCTGTTAGAGAGCACCAATGAGAATAAGACCTACATTATATTAAAAACTTCTTAACTTTATACCGATATTGTGAATTTAATTAAAATCATTAAGAACTGTTCTTTAGAGAACTGTGAAAAATGAATTGAATAATTTTTTCTAAAAATCAACTTCCCGAAGACATAAGAACTTGGCCAATCAATGATAAGTGATCCTTGGTTAATCTGATAAGTACTGAAGAACTTTTCAGTTAAGCCTTGGAAGTTTTGTTCCCGTTCATCCCAAAATGAACTATCATTAATCATGGTTAAATCAAAATTAAATTTCTGCTTTAATTAATTATAAATAAATTATTGTATCCACCAATATTTTATGTCATGCCATTAGATATTAAAAATTATCTATCAATCAATTTTAATTATTTTTTTTGTTAACAGGTTAATTTGAGCCATATTTTTCCAGTGAAAGCGAATGACAGAGTTTATAGAAGTACATTAACATTTAATGATATGCTGAGTGAAATGTCATCTTTAGAAATATCTCTATGTGAGAATAATATTGATGCTTATTTCATAAGAGATTTGTGATTTTTTTTTCAAACTGTAAATATTTAAATGGGCAAAGATTTTATAATAAAAATGAAGTGTAAAGAATACATTTTTTTAGCCTAATATCTTCAACATAATGTTATTTTGTCATTTAAGTAAATTACCACAGCTAACTGAGAACCATAAAATATTATATTGCCTGGTTCAGATTTAATTGATCTGGTCAATAAAGTATTTAAAGGTGGCCACTGATAATCATTCCAAGTGGAACATTGAAGCGAAACAATTCAGTACTTAGAGTGATGACGTTATCACGGAGTTCACTGACATTTTTGTCACTCCATTGTTTCATTCTGTTTTTTACAAATAGGTAGTGAGTGATTCATACTTCTCTAGCCTATTTTCTTAGCTATTCCCAACTCTTAAATAAAATTTCAGATTTTCAAAAGAAACATTGTATCCGAATTTGATAAAAAATATATTAACAGATAGACAGGTGGAGTTAGCAACTCAGCTACCGACAATATCTATTTAATAATTTTCATTACATCGTTTTTCAATAAAAAAGAAAAGGTTGGTAGACAAATACTTGTTAATATTTACATACTACAAATATTTCAATGCACAGATTAATAAAACTACTGAGAATTATTGGAATATAAATGGAGCCAAAATAGTAAATAGTGAAAATTTTAAGTATATAAATTATAAATCCACTAAATATCTATTTCTTTTTAATTAATATTATATTTTCTAATACAGCAGTAAAAATAACATTAGTTCTATTCACGTTCTAGCAACATATTTACTGCTCAACAGTTTTTATCACTAATATAATAGCACAGCCTAAAAACCGCAGTCTAACATTCAACTTCTACTTTCCATACTTAACAGAGGTTTGAGGTGATTGGATTATGTTAAGGTATGATACGAGTTTAGGACTATGCAACTTTACATCACTCCTAAAAATCATCGCTTATTACAGGATTCATTTGAGATCGAAGATTGAAGTGGAGTGATCATCGGTGGTTGCCTCTACTCTTTTATAGAACTCACAGCAACTGAACTTAGCTAGATATATGTGCAGTATAATTACAACTATAAACACGATATAATTTTTTTTTAACATAAGGTTAGTCACAATTTCGCAAACTCATTTCTCGTCCAACCAGATATTTTGGTATATCAAATGAACTACAACATCCATATAAATGTATTTATTAAAATATCTTTTTAACAATAATTCAAGAAAATTATGCAAATATTAATAATCTTAATTCTAGGTCTAATAAAAAAATTATGAATTCATATAAAATAAAGACTCAATCAGGTGATCATGTATGAGCTCAAGGTACATAAAAACATTAATATAGCTATCAACAAAATTTATAACACAAATAAATAAATAACCTCTCGATTTCTACAACCTTATTCTTATTATCCTATCCTATCCTATTACAACATTCTTTACTAATGCAGTGATATTTCATCATAAAGGTACATGTGTATGTTGGAATTATTTATAAAAAATAAATGTTTAAATAACATTTTGATAAACATCACGATAATTGGTGAATAGTTTTATGATCTACAAATTCATCTAAATTACTAATATTGTCCCACCATAGATGTAACTGGTTTTGTAAAATCAAACGAAACCAAGGTGTGATTGGATCTTTTAAATTGGATATGAATTTATTAAAATTATTTTTGGATACAAAACAAACTTCACTTACTTCTTCAGGGTTGGGTTTGATAGAAACATCTTTATGAATAAAAAGCACATAATCAATTTCATGTTCTCCCCAAATTCCATCACCTATTGACTTGTAAATGATTCTAGTCAAATATTTCACATCTTTGGTATCAAGTTCCTCTTTAGGAACTCCTAATTCATGGTTTAATCGCCTTATTGCTGCCAGTTTCACACCTAAAGCTTTCTCTTCAATTTGCTCATCAACAATATCAAATAAAGGATGACTACAACAAGTGTTGGTAAAACAGCCTGGAAATGTTATTTTTGTATCGGACCTTTTCTGCAGTAGTAATTCTTGCCTGCTATTAAATAAAAATACACTAAAAGCACGATGAAGTAAAATGTTGCCATCAGGCTTCACCTGGTGACAGTCTCTCTTGCTGGCACTTCCAATAACTTTATCATTTCTGTCAACCAACATACACTTTTCTGAAAGGGACTCTTCTTGAATAGGATTTAATGCCTGAGCTGCATTATGTACATACACAAAGTTAGAAAATGAAAACAGTCTAGTCCGCAACATCTTGCAAATAGAACTGATACCCTGACAAGCTATCACAAAAATGTAAATTTTGTTGTCCTTGGCATGTCAAATGAGTAAAAGATGTTATCAGCTTTCCTATAATTTAAATACAAATAAAAAACGTCACAAGCTTCTGAGAATAAAACAGGTACAAAGAATATGGTAATAAAAATCGGTAACTGCAAATTAAATGGAACAGAACACTATTAAGTAGGTAATCCAACGAGACATCTAATGAAGAAAATATGCAAATGTTATTTCTCCACTACATCCTGGCATTCCAAGATTTAAATTGGTTATTATTTCATTTTATTCGTTTATTTTTCTTGTCATCTTAAGCACATATTTTTAATATAACGTACAATTTCATTATTTATATTTGATTGAGAAAAAATTATTGTAGCATTTGAAGTTATGTTCAAAATACATACAGGTTATTACAAAAGAGAAACACGAATATCACTGAAGACAAATCAATGAATAGAGGATTAAGTTCTTTGGAACATAATGTTCATGAAAGTTAAGTCTTGAAAAAACGTGTAGATAATATAAGGAAATGAGTAAAATGTTTCTTTTTAATTGAATCTAGGACCATATCAATCTATTAGATAGAGAATAATTCTTACATTACTCACATCTGATAAACTGTTTACGTTAGCTAATTCGATTTTAATCACCAATTATTGCAACTAAATATGGCACGCAATGTTCATAAATCCTATTAGCAACATCCAATAAGATTCTGTAACTTCAATCCCTCAGAGCTTACAGGTTATTTATGATAACTGATTATATGGTCTGTTCCAACAAGCAGTCCCTAGACTGCAAGTCTATAGATGGAGTTATGGAGTCTCCAATCTACACACCCATAGGCAAACGGGTCTATTAATACGGGGTACAAATTGATAACGAAATTTCGTTTGATCTGAGACCTTCGGTTTTGTTGTCGAGAAGCAAAACTTTTAATTTAATAAACAGGGGAGAGCCAGAAGACACATCCGCCGTGGATATGTGGATATGATCATAAGCTCAAATACGAATTCTCGGAACACCTGCTGGTCCAATCGAACGAATAGAAGAACTACGAAGCTCGGTGATTCAATAGCTAGAAGCCACAAAGAAGTAAAAACGATCCCAATGTTATGTAGTGGAAGGGAATAGAGCTGAATTGACGTGACTCGGATATCACCAATGTTAGCAAATTGCACCATCGATTAGACCTTCAGTTCTGAGACAAGCACCGAGCATCAGTTGACGGTGCCTATCGTTTCGGAAAACACGACATTTATAAGTTACAATGGTATCGACAGGGCCTTTATTACCAGAGAGAAATTTGGATACTTTCCGATCTACGTTGGAGAGAAAACTAGTCTACGATCAACAGGATGCGGCCTAAACTGTTAGGTTGACTGCATGGGTTATGGAGTATCCAGAATAATTTATATCGTCCGTTTTACCCCTGAGGAATCCGTATATCACAGGAGGGTAAAAGCTCCATCTAGCCAATGGTGGTCAATATGACAATTGTTAAATAGTATTCCCAATACTGATGATCTGGTGGCTCGACATAAATTGTTATCAATTTATCAGGGAGATCTACAGTCTATCTCTTCGAGATGTGATGGCTGATTGCGAATTTATATCGCCTTGTGAGTGCAAGAATTCTATTGCAGTTATATTCTTACGGCACAGTTTATTCAAGGATTAAACGATAACAGTATCCGGGAACAACTTTTGCAATCCATCATCGCAGACTTCAATGGCATTGTTGCAAAGGCTATTACCCTGTAGACTCAAAAATTCTAGTTCAAAAGCTGTCAACCACGGTCGAAATCAACAAAATACTACAATGATAGATTTGGCTTTCAAAATCTAGAATAATGCAACTTGTCATTTCAAGTAAAAACCTATACCGAAATGTAAATATTTAATAAGCAGCCACGATGGCCTGAACACATGACTTTACCAATGTATTAACATTCTTTCTCACTGCTTTTGTGGATAACTTTTATTTGTGAACTATGAATATGCAAAACAGAAATTTTAATGTTTAATATAAGGTGTACTTTTTATATGAATAATTCAAACTCAAATCCTTGAGACTTGATGATATAGTGTTTAGATATGCATACAATTCATTTTTATGTTTTATTTATTCATTCTGCAACATTTCATTAAATACAATGGGCAAATGTACAAAATAAAACCTCTTCTTACTAGACGAGTGTTTCAAATAAATTTATACAGTCAGTAACAAAAGTTTCTGGACACCTTTGAACTTACAAATATAAATGGCTGACTGTGATTATGTTATGAGAAGGAGTTAGTGCAACTCCTTCTCTTACAAATAGAATAGTTGCTATTGTTACTCCTTGTGTTAGTAACCAATTCAACAAGTAATAACGTTTAGTACTTGAATTCATAAGTTCTGTAATATAATTTAATTAATTTTTTCATATAAAAAACAGTAATAACAGAAAAACTAAACAAAATCCAATAAAATAAACGCAACAAAAGGTTTTGGACACTTTCTTTAAATGTCAATAATGAATTTGATATTGATATTAGAATAAATAAATTAATATTTTTGGAGACATCTCTGAGCATTTATTACCTCTCTGGGCCTATTGGGCATAGAAGAAACCAATTCTGAGGTCATAGAAATCGATATCTAGGACCATTCTTCAAGGATACACATTTTAAGTTCTTCCTTGTAGCTAATTGGACTTTTCGTGATTTGCTTCGGAGGAGGATGCTATTAATTGCATCATCTATTGGAAATCATTCGGTTTGTATTCCTTACATTTTCAGGAAACCCTAATGTTTCTAAAGTATAAGCGTTTCCTTTTGAGTTGTGCAATTAACATTCCACAGAGGTAAATGCGTATTCATAGCCGCTACACTTACTTTAAATAAAAACCATATCCTTCAAAAAATATGAGTCTAATCAAGAGTAAACTCATTTTTTGGGTAAAAGTCTGTTTGCTCCCACGTTACGTGATGCACGATGTTATGAATGTGGGAAATATTAAATATTCAACAAGGACAGAGAAAATAAAGAAGTTATGCATTGTTACTAACAGTTCTAGTAGATGGGGTTTAAACGATTTATTTAAAGATATTACATGCTGCTTCTTCATATCGCACAGTAAATCAACTACTAGGAATGATATCAGATCTTAACTTTTTAGTACCAAAAACATCAAGATAGGTAACAAGGCTCACCTCTTTTTTTTTTTACACAACTTGAGAAAAACCTCAAAATATTTCGTAATAAACCTCAACTTAATTATGTGATCTTTAAGCATAATAAACAAGGAAGTTATTCTAAAAGGGGTGTGTCTTGGGCGAAAAAAAAAAAAGAAAAGAAATCGCGAATAATTCCTTTTTTTTTTAAACAGAACTTAAGTTAATTTAGGCGCTCAAAAGTCTTCTTTAAATTATTTCAACAATGGCAAATTCTACTTTAATTTAAAGTAAATTTTGACCTGTTCAGCAATTGTTAATGACTCCAATGAAAATATTTTTTTTAGTTTTCGCTTGCTATTAAACAAAAATCCTTACTTAAAAAACACGAAAACTAAATTTCCTATTTTTCTGTGGAATATGGGATCATGATTTATATGAACTTTTTGGTAGCTCTTCAGGTCTACTATACTTCTTTTATTATTTCCCTTTACTTAGAAAACATCCAGTATACATACAATACTTATTTAAAAGTCATTTAATTTTATGGGGAAATTGGGCTTACTCTGGCAAAGTTGAGTATCTCTAACCACAACGTATAGAAATAAAATTATTTCTATTCCTTGTGCTACAACAGTGGTAGCATTGATATTTCAAATAGATCTTTTCTCTCTCCCCCCCCTTTTTTCGGCCATCCCGTTCCCAATTTCAAATATATCAAATACTTACGATGTAATTGACAAGATAGATTCAGGTTAAGCTAGATCGTGAGATTATCTTAGAATGATAAAAAGGAAAATGTTTTCCTTTTAGAATTGTTTACCTTTTTTTCCCATCCAAACCTTGGAATTTTTTCACCTAATAGGAAACCTGACTAGGAAAGACGGCTCACCCAAGGAGGATTAAGAACGACAGCACATCCAACAGAATTAAAAACACTTGAGTGAACTCTGCGACAATCGATGAAAATAAAATCTATTTTTTTTTTTTATAATTATATAAAAGAATGAACAATTAATACATTAAAATAAGAGAGGCCCTGGTTCTTGTAGGACCGTAGCGATAAATAATAAATAAATACATATTATTTATTATACATACAACAGATGGGCAGAAATAAATGAATTAAAGCTGAATGCAGATAAAACCAAGGCTATTATCATCGGGTCCAAAAATCTCATCAGCTCCCTTCCTTACTCTCCTCTACTTTACCTCAATAACCACCCCATCCATTTTTTCCCTACATTCAAAAACCTAGGAGTAACCTTTGACCAGAACCTCTTCTGGGATAATCATATCTCCCAGATTACCCGAAAATCCATAACTGTCCTTAAACAACTCTTAAGATTCCGTGATTATATTCCTCTAAAAACCAGACAGCTCTTTGTATTCCCCCACTTCGACTACGGCTGCTTGGTGTATGGATGGCTATCTGCCAGGCTGGAATTGAGACTAAAAAGACTCATGAATTGTTTCATAAGATTCATTTTCGGGATCCCCAGACGTTCATATGTTTCACTATGGTACACCGAGTTGAAGTGGCTTTATCCTACTTCCCGACGACAATTCCTTCTTGGCGTTTTCCTTTTCCAAGTCTTCAGAACTAAAAACCCTCCCTACATCCTGGAACTCCTTACTCTGCGCTCCTCTATCCACTCTCTCAATACTAGGTCTCAACCTATAGACTTATATATTCCCTCCCATAAAACTTCCTCCTTCAGCAAATCCTTCGTCATTCGTGCTGCTTCCTTAAGGAACTCACTTCCTACCCCCATGCGTCAATCCTCATCCACAAATTCCTTCAAACAACTCCTGTTCCAAAACCTACTCCACATTCAAACTTCCCCTAACATGTAAAATTACTTGCATCTATACAATGTTTAATTTCAATCCATTGCACAATTGAAATAAGAATTAACAATAAATTAGTTGGTATTTTTATTATGTCAGACTGATACATAAATTTGTAACTCTGTTATTATTCTTAGGGGACAGTAGTCCCAGAATAAAATTATTTTTTCATTTCATTTCATTACATGTTTCATTTAAAAGTTGATGTGTTATTATTATACGATACAAATAAAACAGATTAGACTCAGTGATATTAGTCCAAATTTTACCTTATCTGGCAAGTTTTTAATTCGTAAAAAAATTCTTTGAAATAAGTGCGTTTTATATCCTTCATTGTTCTTCTTTTTTTTCTATTGTTTGATATTTATATATTCTTGGATTTTTTTCTGTCTAAGTTTTATTATGGTTGGCAGCAGAGTTGGGCGTAATCATAATCAACGATTACGATCACAGTAATCTCGATTACGCGACTACACGATTACAAACGTCATTATGTTCCAGATTACGACTGTAATCAGGTAATCGAGTTATATTTTTGTTATATTTATAGTGATATTGAATCAAGCATAAAATTAGCGAGTTCATTAAGTTTTATTTTCAGTTGTAATCATTGATTGGGATTTGTTGAATTGAAAAAAAATTAGGTAAAGAAAAATATATTAGAATTCAAAAGCAATAACAGTTAGTCTAATCAATTAACAACATTTGTAACAATTTACATTTAAAAATTAATTAATTTACATTAAATTTAATGTGTAAAATATCTTCTAGACCACTTTGAATAACATCTCCCTTTTTGATCGGTCCTGTACCAGCAGGAGAACCAGTCAAAATCAGATCATAAGGTTCTAGTGTCATGTACTTTGTAATAAATGCCAGGAGATCTGATATTGAAAAAATCATATCAGATGTTCTGCAATCTTGTTTTATTACATCATTAACGGATAACCACAGACGTACATCTTCTGGGTTTGGAAGACAATCAGGCGGGATGGCAGAACTTATTGGACAAGCAGTGTCGAAGCCTTTTCCAAATGTCCAAGGTAATCCTTTACTCTTAGAAATATCCTACAACCATAGCTAAGTTTAATATACAAACAAAATTATTTGATATATAACTATTTTTAAGCATTCTCTAAAATACTTTTAGACTTTACTGGGTTGCTCATCCCTTACAAGGTCGATAGTACATACTCCCCTTCCAGGAAATCTGATTTATCTTATCTTATAAAAACAAAAGTGAAAGGAAGGTAGAAAGAGCAAAATTGGAGATTAGATACAAATACACCTGCTGTGATTGTTCCACGTTTTCCTCATAGTTCTCTGATTTGAAAGATCCTTGAAATCGGAACCTCACAAAAATGTTGATGGCGTAATTTGTAATCTCTTCTGGGTATCCAATTCCATCTAACCCCTGGGGCATATACAAAAATCCTTCATTTAATTGTTGTTTCGGTAAAAAGTTCTCAGATGAGACAACTCGTGCAAAATTGGGTTTTTAGTAATTGGAACTGGTTACTCCTTACTTTAAATGTTATTAAATCTATTGCTAGCCCAGGATTTCATTTTGGGGGGGGGCGTCAGCCCGAAAGCTTTTTTTTTTAAATATAACGATAATTACTTTAGAAGAAAAAACAAACTACCTATACGAAGTGGTGTTTAAGTGATTCTTGAAGTTCTATTACATGTAATTACATCAACAAGAATGCTTTTAGGGATCATTTTTTTTCATAAGACATGGTAATATTCATCATTTTGGGAGGGGCTTCGCCCCGAAATCTCTCCTCTCCCCCTCCCCCGATCCGTATGTGACCTTGTCTAATATAACTTTTTCAACCCCGATATTTTTCAAAATGTGAACTATTTATAAACAACGCAACACATCCAAACCACCAAAGCAAAACTATTACATCAATAAAGGTAGGACAGGAAACCAACCTTAGCTGATTTAGGGATATATTCCCATCATAGAACAATCATTATTCATGTCCAACGAGTAATTCGTACAAAAGCGTTAGGAGCTACTACATGAAAAACGTCAAATTTGATTTAACAAAAAAAAGTAAATACATATTTTTTTTTTATTTAGTTTCTCTCATTCCTTCAAGGATCCCCTCCTAATGAGGTGGCCTATAATTTGCCATAACAGCTCTTCATCTATCTTCAAGTAGACAATATTCAGACTTATTAGTCTTACTCACTGAAGTAGGAAAGGAAAGTTCTGTTCTTGTTGGAAATACAAAAAACCTACAGTTCTCAGAATCTGGAACATAGTTAGAGTTTTACATTCTAGAAATGAAGGTTCAACTTTGGTTCCGGTATCTGTCCGAGTTGTTAACTAGAAGGTTGATAACTTTTAATCAAATTACATCCGATACTTCCGCTGATGCACGCGCATTTTTAGACATGTTAATATTCCAGAAACGGTTCCAAATTGTAAAAAAATTGAGGAATAGAGAAAAGGTGGCACCATATTAATTTTTTTAACGAATTTCATCCTTGACTTCCTAACTGAATCATATTTTTTTTTATACAGCTTATTTCAAAAACACCACGTTCGACGTGGTGCTAATACTGGAAAGTGAAAAATGGTCTTGTGTCAATTTCATCTGATTTCATTTCACAATTAAAATTAATGTACCTAATTGTTAAGAACATAATGACTGAAATTATCTGCGATTGGGAGGATTCATACAAAGGTCGGTAAATTTCGATTTTATATAATCATGTCCAATTCTTTAGCTTAGGCGTCCGTTTTTCCTTGACTAGATACTTCAAAAAATTGGTTACTTCTGTAGATTTCATAATCAAATGAAAAATCGTATACCTTGAAATATATATTAATTATGTAAACTAGAGAAATGGTGAGAAAGCTATACTGGCCCTATTTGGTAAACCTTTTTATTTTATTTTGCATTGTTACAGAAAACAAATGGTTGAAATCGATGATTAATTAGTAAAAAAAATAAAATGATGATAAAGCTCAGAATCTTATTTGAACTTAGTGAAAATAAGTCAATAAATTAATTTATTTTTTATGGAACATTTCATTACCAGGGGGTGCCAAATATCTGAAACCAATACCACTAATCTTGCTTCTTCTCCCCCTCCCTCCACCAATATTTTCTAAGAACCAGCTCCTATGCTTTCCTGTTGTTTTTTTAGAACTTGTTTACTGATAAATATTACAATCTATCTCAAAGGACATTTATAATAGTGTTCAGAGATCACATTCACAATTTAAGTACGATAAATAAAAAAAAAAAAGAAAACATACATTCCTATACACACTATTTACAATCAAGCGAGGGAACTCCAAGCCAAACTTATTCCTCCAACTGAGGAGAGAAAAGCATGACTCCAGGCGATCTCTGCACTATTCTCTCAACCGCGTCACTGGGGCTAAATCCAGTAGAGATTGAGCGAGAGCGCTTTGGTTCTTTAATTAAAACAGAATCACATTTTAACAGAACTATTGAAATTATGTTTCAGTGAACAAGATTACTGTTTAGGCTGTTGCCTTGTTTGTTTGGTTGGATCTAATGCGAGCCAGTTTTACTTTTTTAGAGAGGCATTCAAAGAAGACTAAAAGAGAGAACCCTAATAGAGATAATGAAATGTTTGGAAAATGGACCTGCAAGAAGAATCCTTGTGTAATGTTCACAAATAAAATTGAATGGTTATGAAAATGAAATGGTTAATGATGGAGAAATACAATGAGGGAAATTATTTTTTTTCTTTTTTAATGTTTTATTATGGATTACTCATTATTTCTTGTAATAAGGACATTAATAAAGTGTTATATTAAACTTGTCCTAAAAGTGTTTTACTTCTAAAAATACTAAGTCAAATGCTCAAAAAAGAGAAGAAAATTTGATGTTTTTCAAGGAATCACCCATGAACATTTGCCCATAATAGGTATAAGCCACAAATATTAAAACAATATTAAAACAAATATTAAAAAAAAAAAACTCTTTCTAATATAGATTGTTCTTGTTATTAAGATTTTTAGTAAGTATGAGCAATATCCAGAGACATGCAAACACATCTATTTGGGATGTCTATTTCCGTCCAAGCATGATTACACAAATAAATAAAAGAAATATACCATTAAATTTTTGGCAGTTAAATCTAATGCCAAGCAATAACCGCCAATATAATTATTTGCTTCATTTGGCTGGATGTTCTTGCATTTTTGTCGAATAATGACACCCAATTCTACTTCATGGTGTACCTCAAATCCTACAGGAATCTAGGTAAAAAATAAATTGATTATAAGAAAAGAAACAGATAGGAAGGAAATTAATTGACATGTTAGCATGAAAAAAACATTTAAGACAGAAAAAATTAATAATAAATTCAGAGAAATTAATTTGTGGCGTTACCTGGTTGTCCTTGATTTCCTACTTCATCTTTAAATCATTTGAACTCATCAAGTCAAAATAAATAACATATAGGGTAAGTGCAACAGTGATAGACATAGCTAAGGATTTATTTGGCTTATGCCGTAATTATTATGGTTATAAACTTCCCCATTGAACATTTAGAATCTCGACGGTCTCCTTTTTCTATTTAACACTTTAAAATTGAAAAAAAAATTCAGTTATGCAGATATAATATCCATTAAAAAAAAAAAACACTTTTTTGAACTAGTGATGGACACCCTGGAAATTATTCTAGTAAAGGATATGGAGCTAGTACCAGTTATAGACATACATCAGAAAAATTCTAAATATTTATTTAACAATAAAGATAACATAAATGTTCAACTTACTCTTAGCAAAACAGTTAGTAGGAAGTAAGAAACACACTGATCTCAAGAGCACTATAGTAACAACAAGGATAGGCATTTTAAAATTTTTTGGGGAGAACTTTGTCCAAACAATTGTCAATAGAGGGCATTGTTCTTCAATATAGAAAAAACTGGAACCTTAAAATCCAACTTGTACATCACTGGGCTCCCTAACCCTAACTGGTGCGTTTACCCTATTCATACCATAAAAAATTGGAATTTTAGTGATTTTCTAATCATTAAGGGATCCCTAACATGGTTAATATTATGGAATAAATATTAAATTTCATCAATATCTTGACTGTTTAAGGGTTGTTGATTTTAAGGTTTCAGTTTTTTTCTATATTGAAGAACAATGCCCTCTATTGACAACCGTTTTGACAAAATTCTCCTCCAAAAAAATTACAATGCCTATCATTGTTGTTACTATAGTGCTCTTGAAATCAATCTGTTATAATTGCATCAATTTTTTATTTTCTATACAACTGAAGGAGAGTCAATATTATTGAACATGTAAGTGCTATATTGAGAAAAATTTTATCATTTATTCAGACCATATGAAACCATCATATTATCATGTTATCATATGAAACCATATTTCAGGAGGTCCCTCTTGATTATAGTGGGGGCCTGTGTGAGGGAAAAGGAGATTCTGCCCAATTTCAACTTTTTTAAAATGGAAATATTTTATGCCATTTAACTGTTTTAAAATTACTCTTTTAACTTTTTTTTGTTGAAAAGTTAATTATTATATAATATTAATTAATTATATAATATTAAAAACATTTTTTTTTTTATTACAAACTATTTCTTAAATATTAAATAATTAGAAAACAAGGACCAATTTAAAATTAGAGGCATTGTTACGTGTAGGAATAAAATAAAGTGAACAGATAATACAAATATTAAGGTTATATTATACTTATTAATGTAATAAATAATAAGTTATTGCACAATATTATTGCATATGTAATTGGTATATTGAAAAAATGTTTATCATTTGATTATAGTAGGGTGCTGTGCGAGGGAAAAGGAGGTTCTCCCCAATTTTACATTTTTTAAAAATGGAAAATGGAATATTTTATTCCATTTAACTGTTTTAAATAAAACTAAATTATAATTGGATACAGGACTTTCTTTTTCCTCAAATGATTTTTTTTTCTTCATAAATTTATTAATTTATACAACCATGACATCATATTTCCTATAAATAGAATTGTTTTCAGTTCAAACCTTTAAGGAAAAGAAATTTTAGATACAGAAAATTTTAAATAAATAAAAAATTCGTTTTTTTTCCCTTTGGCTTTATAGACCTTGTAGATCCTATGGGGCCTTAACCAGCCTTCTCCATCTCTGGCAATCTTGGGTTCTTTCATTTAATAACAAAACTAGATTACTAGTTTATATTAATTATAAAAAAACAATATATACAGTGCCTATACAAATAACATATTTCTATACTTAGATCGACATACGGCATTATCTCATTCTGTGCCTTTGGCAATGAATAGGTACAAAGAAAAGTACAAAATTAAATAGTAAAGTACATTTAAACATTTAATGTTTAAAAAAAATTGAAATATGCAAACATTACATGGCCATTAATGCAAAAAAATAACTGATACACAGAAATCTGAAAAAATCTTATTTGACCCTCAATTAAGCAACAACTTTTTGTATAATGCTCCCCAATTAAAGTAGTAATGCATTTAAATAGTCTTCATTTTTAATGATGAGTGTCATATTTCATATATATAATAATATAATATTATTATATATAACAGATACTATGGTCTGCTAGATAATAACTACTAGGGTTTCGAAATGTTATTTAATAGGGATCTATATTGAGATCACCAATATTATAAATTGATTATGAGCCTGAATAACGCTTTAAGAACAATTGAACTATAGGACATTTCGATAGTACAATTTAAGATATAGAAGAGAAGAATAGTTGGGGTGGTCAGTCAAAAAAGAAGGCAAAAATAAATGATAATATTTATTTTTATATATGCCGACGTTTCGACCTGAAGTTCAGGCCTTCATCAGGGCTAAGAAAATAACCAGATAACAAGGTATGAGAAACATAAGTAGTGATGGTAAAAAAATAAAAAATTATTTTAAAAAAAAATTGATGAAGTAGGCATAATCAAAAAGGGTGACATAAGTGTTACAATGGGAATCTTAGAATAAAATGTAGAACATAAAAAAGAAATATGAAGTTATATAAGTAATAAAAATAAATAATAAAATAAAGACATTGAGAATGGAGTAGTTAGATAGAAAATTGAGATATTGTAAAGTCTAGCAAGATGTACAGACAATTTATTTATTTTTTTACCATCACTACTTATGTTTCTCATACCTTGTTATCTGGTTATTTTCTTAGCCCAGATGAAGGCCTGAACATCAGGTCGAAACGTCGGCATATGTAAAAATAAATATTATCATTTATTTTTTGACTGACCACCCCAACTATTCTTCCCTTCATTATCCACGACAGTCAACCATTTACCAATTATGAATTTAAGATATAATAATCATTGAATAATTATTAAACTTCAGCACACTTATTATTAAAATTTGATCATATATGGGAATGCCACAGTATATTAATCCTTAGTTTAGTAATAATTTTAAAATTACAATAATTAACCTGGATTGGTAGTCCTTCTAATAAATAAGATGAAGTTGGTTTTAAAAATACAACTGGTTCTGATGGTTCAGATAAATTCCTTTCTTTAACTACAGACCTGAAATAAATTTAGGTTGATATCCAACTCTTCTTTTTAACAAACATTAATTTTCCTGATTACCTGAAATTTAAACCTGCTCCAACAATTTTTTTTCCCAAAGAATGAAATTTTTTTACATCAAAACTAGGCATTTTATGTTACAAGATAAAAAAACAATTAATCAAACTAAAATTGTATTCCTTCAACAGATATCAGAAAACGGCTAAAAGGTAGAACTAAAATATGTTTGTATCGATAATTGATTTAAGGAACGCGGTTCTTGTTGGTTAGGATTAAGCTTTTCTCTAGTTGAAATAGAGATTTTCCTATTATACCTTCAGTTAATTAATTTAAGAAATAAATATTTAAATTTAAAATGAACTTTACTACAATATTGTTTGAATTGTAACCCATATATTCACGTTGGCTGTTCTTTCATTAACGTCCATTAAAGGGTGACTTATATACACTAAATACTAAAACTCCACTGAGAATTTTAATATTCTTTGTATGTTTAGCAATCTATTCAAAATAATTGATCTTTAGTTTCTTACGACAGTTGTTAATTCGTTAGGGTGAAATAACCTTATTATGAAATTTATGTACTGGTAGTTCCTGTTTATATTAATCTCATTCATTCCAAAGTGCAAACAATTGTTATTGTTTGGGTATTATAGTTTCTTTAATGTATGAATATTGCAACTGAGAACATGGGTGCAATTGATGAAGTTAATAATGCTCCAAGACCTCCAGTAAAAATTAAATTGGTATGTTGTATTTGTGTACACTTATTTTGATTATCCATATCATATATCAATTATATTGTCTATTAAAGGCTGTATTTAATGTAAACGTTTATTTTTGTTATGCTTATTACATTAAAAATATATGATCTTCTTGATTAACAGTGGTATTGATTTTAGTCTCTACTTTTTGTGTAGTAATTATTATATTCTTAAATTTTAAGTAGATCCTTTGCCATAATGTTATTGTAGTACTTACTTTCATTGACTATTCTTTAATTAGTTTAACATTAAATCTTTTCTAGCCATGCGATATGATTGGTTATTGTAATTATCAGGATTAAGGCTAATACATGATAAAACTTCTTGTGCTCCTAAGGGTTGGGTGAATATTCATAAGGCTATATTAAATCCTGTTACAATTGAGGATCATGAACAATATTTGTTTTATACTTCCACTTTTATTTCATTTGACCATGTCACATTTACTAGTTAGATAGATGATTCGTCAGTGCTTAGAAATCAGAAAATAGTTTTATCATAAGTCATAAAATTTATAGCTTTGAATTAACTTAGTACAATCAATGTGAGGAGACAAAACTTAGTATAGTTATCTGTTCATTAATTCATAAGAATAAAATAACTTCATTTTAGAAAATAATAGTGACATAAGTAAACAATTTAAGATAAAACCTTGAGGAATTTAGATTGATAGAGAAGGAAGTATTTTCTCTCCAAATCACTTCAAACAGTTGCTATGTTTAATATACCATATTTTTTTTTCAATTCGATTTGTTTTACATTATTTTAGTTGCCTGCACTAGTTGTCAATTTATTTTTATTTCAACAACAAGTATAATCTAAATGAAAGTAAAGTAAAGAGAATATGTTCATTTCGTGTCTACTTTCCTTCGGAAATAATAGATTTGGAAATAACCTATTTGGACCTTTAGAACCACTAGAATTATGAAATTTACAGAGATGTCAGTTATATATATTTTGTTTTCCCCCCACTACATTCGGACGGCTTCTGCAGTCCTGTTGGATTAATTAGCTGGAATTCAGTATGTAGAGTTGGTTACCAGGGAACAATACCATCAAACTTTGCATACATTTTCCCATGTCAGAACGTTTTTTCATGTTTTAAAAGCATTGCAGATCTCTTCAGCTCCTTCTAAGTTTTGAAGGCTGAAATTTTGTATCTATATTAAGTTGGTATTGGAAAAGTTCCTTTGGAGGGTCTCATCACCAGCCGGCATTTAGTTTCAAGATGGTGGTGGAAAACTCCTTTTCCCATTAGACCACAGTACCAGTATGGTTGCGACCGGTTCGATAAAAGCTTTCCTAAAGTATTGCCTATGAAACCCTATAAATTTATGTATATAAAGTACTTCCCCGAAAAAGGGCTAGAGGAGGAGTCCTGATGAATACAAAATATTATTTGTCTCTAACTCATAAATTATGCTTTTTTTGATGATTTTCATTAGAACATATTTCAAAGGTAATTAAATTTCTTAAATCACAAAATAACGCATCGAAATTCGTCTTGTTTTAATAACATAGATTTAAATTTTGGTTAGCCAAAACTAAGGATACTTTGCATTAGATTATTTGCAATATTAGATTATATAATTATATTAGACTGCATTAATACTTTGCATTAGAAAATTAGGTAAACATTTAGAACAGCACATCTTTGCACCAAATCGTTTTGTGTTTTTTTGGAAATGTCATAATCTACATATAAACCACAGGGGGATCTAGGGGAGGGGGCTTTCGGTCTGAAGACCCCTTCCCCAAAATGGTAAAATATAACCATGTTTTATAGAAAAAAAAATTTAAAACTATCTCTTAAACTATTATTGTTCATGTAATTACATTTAACAGGACTTTAAGAATCACTAAGACACCATGTCATATGGGTAGTTAGTTTCTTTCTTCTTTTTTTTCAAATTAATTATCGTTATATATATGAAAAAAAAATCCTTCCGGCTGAAGCCCTCCCCCCCCAAAAAAAATTAAATACTGGATCCGCTAGTGATATAAACTTGCAAACATTAACATATAAGTGAATACTATTTGAGTTTATCTGAAATCCTATTATACCCTGGAAACTTTTTTCCAGCTTCTTTTTTCGTGAAGTTTATTATTTACTTAACTTTAAAGTACTTCAGGGAGAAAACTTTGAACGAGTTACATTAAAATCGGTACACCCGTTAGTTTATGCGCTACAGCCTACAGCAACACACGTTTTTCGGCCTCCATTTTGAAAGGAAAGTGTGATTAGTGATGTCCAATTCCAAAGATCATCCTCTGATGCGCTTCGACATTGATGCCAAATCTCAACACTCAAGGTTCAGTAATTGCTTTGAGCTACTGATGCCTTTACTGAGAGCTGCGGATACGAGACGGGTGGCTTTGGTTTGATAAAAACGTAAAACAACAAATGTTTAGGGATTAACTATTTTTTTCTTGGCCAATTAATAAAAGGTTAATGATTGAAAACAATAAACCAACAATCATTGAAGTCGGACAATTTGTTGCAGATATGAAATTTTCTGATTCTTAGTTCCTTTGGATATTCGACCTTTATTATTTAGTTTGTTGATATTTCAAATATATAAATCTATCCGTATAGTCTTAGTTCTTCTTTAATTTTTTTCTAATCATATGCATAGCTTATTTTTAAAAAATGTAATGACCTAATGATGTTATCAGTTTTTCTAAAATGGACCTCTTCACAGGGCAAAATTTGAAGGTAAAATATGAAAATGTATGTTATACTAACTAGGGGAGTTTACGGACGTGGGCTCACCGATTTCAATTAAATTTGTTTGGCCGTACTAAGTCGAAAAATATTGGACCCATGTCGGAGAGTTCTTGCCAATCCGCCTTACGAGCCGAGAAAAAAAAAAAATTATAAAATTTTATTTTTTATATTAATGTTTTCTGGCTTTGCTGTGCACGAATTTGTAAGTTATTACAAATTTTGTTTTTAGTTATTAGTTACGAATTATTATTAGAAACATCGGCACCAATAATATGTAGAACCAGGGGTGCCCTTCCTTCACTAAGTTATTAGGTATATATCAATCTATTATTTTGTTTGTGCTAAATGATAAAACAATATTCCTAATTGTTTTAAATTGTGTTATATTGAATATGAAAACAATATTGAATTGTGTTAAACGAATTGTAATGTACAATAAATTACAAAAATCCCAAGACTCTTCCAGTATAGTAGGTCAAGTAAAACAATAAGTCCACTAAAACATTTAAGTCAGAATTTGTTTCGAAATTAAAAAATATAAATTTTTGGACTTAAATTTCTGCGAAGAGATGTTTTTTTCATACCGTTTAGTAAAATATTCATAACTTCTAAGGAATTTTTCTTAAGTCAACATTATAAAGTTAAATTATTGCTCTTCATAATCATATCAATAACTTTCAGATTTTACGGTTTTAAATAGAATGAATGAAAAACTCACCAAACGTTATTATTTTTTATCTCCAAGCCTAATTCATTTAAGGGTGTCTGGTTTGGGCCATTTCGTGTATATTACAGGACCCTAAATTCATGCTAAGTTCGTGCGAATAAGTGGAGGCATGTCGAAGTTATCACAAGTTTTGTTATTTTCGGGAAAAAAACTCGAAGGTTAGACGGATTCCAGCAAAATGTTTTTAATTTATGAATAGTATGAAAATTAGTATTCAAGGGGGTGGTTTCGATGTGCAAAATACAAATTGAACTTTGTTTCTTCTTAAAAAAATATTTGAACCCGCTTGACTCCTTAGGTCAGGACTAATTGTTTCAATATTGTACTCATTCACTAACGGATCTAGGATTTAATTGGGGGGAGACTTCAATCCGAAAGATTTTTTTTTTTGTATGTATATATTACGATAATTACTTCGGATGAAAGAAAGCAACTCGAGTACCTTTATGAAATGGTTTTTAAGTGATTCTTTTAGTCCTATTAAGTGTAATTAGACAAATAATAATACTTTTAGAGATAATTTTTTTCATAAAACATGGTTATATTTTACCATTTTGGGAAGGACTTCAGTCCCCAACCAACCCTGATTTGTACCAAATTCGTCAAAAACAGAGATAAATTACAATAAATAGCGCTACAGCTTGGAAATGAGTTCTCTAAGAGAGAAAAATCAGAATAAAAGCAGAGCATAAAATTCCACGTCCACTGAGTACTAACACAGTTATCATGTAGATTAATTATAATCTCTCGAATCAAGGTTCGTTACTTCTTCATGAAATTAGTTGTTTTTTTTTTGTTTACACCTCATTTCTACAAATCAATCGCTGCTGAGATGTGGAAATTAGTCCTATACTGTATATAACAGACTTGCAAGAATTCTCAGTAGGAAATTCAGGCAATTCGTCCCCGTGTAGTATTGGACGTATGGTCGAATAAGCAGAAGGAATGTCTGGCTACTTCACTTAAGATTTATTTTTTCGAGACATTCCATGATGAAGAAGAGGGGTCATGCAAAAGTATTGGTTGTCAGTGTGATTAGTAGGCTCCCCTCCCCCCACATCATGGGAACAGAAAGAACTCATTGAACGACCTTCCTTGTTCATCGATCCTCTTCAAGTTACGCTACATGGGATGCAGCAGATGTGCGGGGTCCACAGTTTATCTTGGTCACCAACCTTCACTCCACAATACTTGTGGTATGATGTCTTGAACATCTGGGTAATTGAACGTTTTTGACCTGCAAAGGTTACTTTCCCATAAATGTAACAAAAGTTATCAGGAGCATTCATACACTTCCTGGGCATTGTAACTTCACCAAATCTACTGGATTATCCAGACAAAATCGTTGAAAGAATGCCTGAAGCAAGACAAATCACTCAAGAGTAACTTGAAATGTGAAAAATCTTATGACTGTCAGCGAAATGTTTTTGTGATTCACAGTTAGTCATTTCCCGCGATCCACATATATAAATCAATCCTACCAACCCAGGAGCAGGAAATGTCCCCATGTTACTAAAGAAGTAACTATATCTTTGAAACTAGAGGCTAACTGATGATTTTTAGGTGGGAATCCGAATTTTTCATACCAAAAAAAAAAATCTGGTGCTCGCAACACACTACTTTCACTTACCGCTCTACTTTGAATAGAAATTATTTTCTGGCAGTGCTGAGCTATTATAAAATTTTTTGAAGTGCATTTTAAACGGAACTAAAGCTTAAAGCTTACAGATAACAAATCATTAAGACCATTATAATTACAAAATGTCTATTTAATATATCGACGGTAGGCAATAAAAATCTAGTCACTCCATCTGCTTTTATAAACCACACTACTTTCTTTGCTTTTACAAACCACAGAATGACTAACACCAATTTCAACATTTTTGAGTAATGTCATTTTAGTGATATTTTTAGTTGAAAAAGTTATCTATGCAGACAGTGAGTAAGTTGATTCCGGAGGTGGTGATTGCAGTGTTAAAATATAGACTGAGATTAAAGATGGAAATGTAGGTACTTATTTTAAGATGGTCTTAGGAAAGATACTTTATTAAATATCTGTAAAAAAAAGGTTCTTCATCATTGTATAATTAAGTGGTATTTGATATCATTTAGGTCGGCTCTTCAGGGAAAAAACTAGAGACCATATCTTTCCTCCTAATTGTCCGGTTTGAACGAATTTTTTTTTGTGTGTATTTTTTTTTAGGAAATTCTACAAACTTTTAAAAACCATATAAAATATCTCCAAAAAAGTGTATACTTTTTGAGTTATTCGAAGTTTAATTTTACCATCCCTCGTAACTTTTTTCGCAGCTTCTTTTCGTTGAAGTATGTTATATAGATAAATTTAAAGGGTGTCGAGAAAATGACTTTAGCGAAGTTTCCTTGAAATCGGTAGATTCGTTTAGGCGCTACAGTCTATAGCACCGCAGGGTTTTCTGCATTTTTATTTTTTTCTCCTTTATTGACTTATCAAATTCTTTCAAAATTTATATGTAGCATTTTTTGTAACTCTGAATAATGAGAAATGATTAACATTTTAAAATAAACCATATTAAAGGTACTTTAGAGGAAGACATATATGAACATTGGACTTTTAAGCCCTGTAAAGTGACATCAACGGGGATAAGACCTAAATGATATCAAATACCACTTAATTATACAATGATACACTGATTTTAATCAAAATCGTTAGGGATTTTTTTGAGAAAATTGTAAAAATGTGTTTCAGCGTTCATATAAAGTGGCACTTCCGGTTAGCCGATTTTAACGAAAAAGTTACTGTCACGTCCGGCCCATATACAAACCTTAAATACCTAATATCAGTTTCGTACTACTTTTCGTTTATGAGCTAGACTGTTAACACACACACTCACACACACACAGACCATTTTGCGACACTTGTTTATTTGGACTCAGGAGACCTCAAAATATGTATTTTCGTGGAAAACTGATATTCGACAATTTTCACGATCGCAATACTTACCCTTACTATATATTACATATATACGTAAGTGGAAGTAAAAATGGAATGAGGCTATTTTCAAGTGAGATACAATATCAATCTAGAGCAATGTTAAACAACCTTCGTTAGGTTATATGGTAAAATATTGTGAGATTAAAAAGAATTTTTATAAAAAAATAATCATTATTACATGGAACATAATTACAGATTATTAAGTTTAGGTACTCTCATTCGACGTACAATTTAACGTTATTTAATTACTTAACAAGTACGTTTTTCATTTCGATGGACCGTTTGGGGATTATAGCAAACAAAAATAAAAAAAGATCGAATATATCTGGCTTTTTTGCCTGTAAAAAGTTTTCCCTCCGTGGCTCGCGTTAGCAATTTTGTTTTTTACATGTCTCTGGACCCATATATACAAGTTAAAAAAATAAAAACGTTCCTCGTATTTTTCGCAAAATATTTTCCGTTAAGATCTTCAAGTTACTGGTCTATTATTCTTTAAATCAGCCGCCATTTTTACATGTAACAAGACCCGATTGGCAAACTCTCATTTTTCAAATTTAAGTGTTATAAATATTTTTAAAAATTGCTTTTAAAGTTTTCATCAAATAATGTCGATTTTTTTTCTCATATGCAGAATAGAACTTGACCATGGGGATGATCGTTGTGGGAATTGGTGGGTATTCTGGAAGTAATAGTATTTTCAACAGAATTACTGCTTTTTTAATGGTTTTGTGGTGTATGAAAGATTTGTAGAGACTGAGTTCAATATCTCGCAGCAACATAATTGTTGAAAATTATGCTTGAGAATAAAGCCATTATTCAGCCAGCACCAGCTTAAAATGCAGTCTCTCATACTTATCTCTGATGGCCATGTTTCTTTTTTAATGTTTTACCTTAGTTAAACACAATCTTTGCCTCTTCAACTACTTTTCTTCTAACATTGTTGTTGTGTATGAAAGTTAAAAACATTTTCAACTGTTATAAAGTTTTACACTAATAATGTTAAATCCTAATTTTGCATTGTTGTTGAAATAGCAACTTGTTCAAAATGCCAACATAAAAAAAAAGCAATGTAGGAATTAGTCATCGCACAAATGTAAGTACCGGAAAACAAGAAGTGACACAAAATGTCCAATCCGGTTGATCATGAAATGCAGTTAAAAATAAAAATCCAAGCTACTGAAATAATCTTAACTCATTGTCATACATCTTCATTATTCCTGAAAGATGTAGCATTTTTAAAAATCTATCAATTTTTCATTATTTGAATAATAATTTATGCATTAAATAGTTGTTTTTCTACTATATACTTGTTTATAAAGCTGAAGAGTTATAATATAAATTATATAAAGTACCTTAAATTAGTTACTTTAAGTTCTGTAATTAAACTACTAAATAGTTTAAAATATATTATATTTGTAAGAAAACTGTAATAATTAGTATATGTTAAATCCTTCTGTTATCATTGAAATGAAATTGGTTTTGTTATTATAATTCTAATTATCTGTCATATGTTATTTTTAAAATACATCTGTAGTTATTGAGTGCAAATTTGTTAATTATGCCCAACACTTATCATAAGAGAGCTTTATCTACAAATATTTTAGACGAAAATGGTATTGTACCTCTCAAACTTTTATATGCTCAAAGAGAACAGAGGCTGAATTTTGATGTATCTAAATTTTTGAGATGGGTATGTTTTTTTTTTTTTTTTAAATACTTAATATCTAATGAGATGGATATTTGGAATTATTAAAATGTTATAAATCTACTTGAAAGTAATGCAAGTAAACCATTTTCAAAAACATTTGTTTGGTTTGAATCTTTATGAATGAAAATTTAAATTTTGGTTAGTTTTGTTAAATCAATCAGCAAATCATTTGCATCTTTATTCGTTGGTTCTGTCTCATTTCACTTGAATTTGTGATTCCCTTATTCACTAAAATTATGTATAATGAGTAAATTAATTTATTATATTTTATTTTGATTCTCTAGCTGGAAATGAAACTGGAAATCTGTATGGTGATTTATTTTACAAAATTCATCTCAAATCCCTCCAATATTTGTTTTCTTTAAATTTTTTCAAACCTGTGAAAGATTGAATATATACTTTTTTTTTTTTCAATTTTGTGTGGTTTAAATATATTGTCATTTAGCTTTACCATTGGATTACCATCAAATCTTTTTGATTTTCCGGAATTCATCTCATTGCTATTAAAAAGTTTTTATTTTTATCTTTCAATCAATAAAAGCTCAATATTTACAGTCCAAGAAAACAAGTAAAGTAGCGAAGCAGATAGGAAGAAACCAGAGGCATGAATTAAAATCAAAATTGAGATTTCGGACGTTTTACTGTGTAAGTCATTAACAGTTATTGTTAATTAAATTTTATCCTAATAAAACAGTAAGTGTTGCAGAAAATCATAACTTCGGATTTGGAATTCTCAATACTGACAAATATTTATAATAGTTTATTTTCTACCTTAAGTTAGTTTGCTAATAGATTAGCTTAAAATATCTAGGTTATCAACCCAGTTTCATTCGGTCACATCAAGCATTATATAAAAACCTTATTTTGTTTAGTATATACATGCGATTTTATTTCTAAGCTTCCTGTAGTTTCACAAACCAAATTTGAATCCAGGAATTTATCTTTCTTTAAGATAAACCAGACTATAATTTTATGGTGCACTATAATGCATATGCACTATATAAAAATAGTCAGATAATTGTTTCAGAATACCTCTCCTGCGTAGCAAGTAGACCAATATCACATCGATCCCACTGTTGATGAAATTCTAAAAATAGTTATATGTATCCGAAAGTCGAGGAAGGCGATTGGTTCCTATTAATTAGAATTATTATTGTTATTAAAATTATTCTTAATTAGACCATGACTGTCAGACTTATGTTTTCTCAAAAGATAAACAGATCCTTTTCAGTTCAGATTATGGCCTTCCTAAGCAGTGGACCTGTTTAATGGAGATGGATCCTTTTCATCATCAAATATACATATCCTTTTACCCCTCCAACATGTTTAAGATATCTTGTAAGCTTCAGTATGACATTGATTGAAGATCCTCCATTGAGATTCTGATCTACTATCTAATGCTGTTGTTCAACAATATTACAATATCTCAACAACAGTTCCGAAACATCATAAAAAAAACTCTGAAAGTACCTTCGATTAATACCTAAATTGGAATCACCATATTTCCCATATCACCAGAAAATCCACCTCAATCTCCCAACAGCTCCTAATATTCTGCGATTTATTATGCCAAGTGTTATTTTCCTTATATTATCATCTTATATTATCCTGCCTCATTCCCCCATCACTTTGACTATGGATGCCTACTGTATAAGAAGACTATGGGCTGAGCACGATACGATGTTAAAAAGATTATTAATTGTTTCATAAGATTCATTTTTGTTATTCCTGGTTTCCAAAAATAAGACCTTATTCCACTCCTTGAGAACTAAAAAACGATCCTAGACCTCACCCTGTGTTCTTTAATATACCCTTAATTATGAGGTCTCAACCTACTAATTTGTATATCCATTCTAAGAGCTTCCTTTGAAATAACCTTTCTTTTATTTAAGAATCTTATTATTAAGTATTGTTTCAGGAAACTACTAATGTGTCAAATAGAACAATTAAACTAGAAAATAAGGAAATTAAAATAGGAGGACTCAAAAGAACTCAATCAGGTATGTTTACTATTTATTTTCACATTTATCATTTATAAGTTCATCAACATACAATACAATAAATAAATAACTGAAACAGACAATAAACTGCTTAATTTGTAATACAAAATTTTATTTTATTTCACTTGCATATATTAGTAATAAGTTTCATAAACATGGCGCCGCTTTATCCGACATGGTTGTCGACATCACTGTGTATTGATCGATGTTTGTGTTGATCTCATATCTTCAAATTCATGTTTTATATGGGAGGATTATTGTTCAGTAAATAATGACTTAATTACTTAGTAAATTAAATGTTAACTTGATTGAACTGTTGTGTTAAAAAATATGCAACATTTCTCTTTGTGATATTCTATAACATTGAAGTTATAGAGTACTTTTTGATATGTGTATCGGGCTTTATACCTATCCATCTAGCTAAGCCTATTATTATTATTTTTTTAACATCTTCCAATATTTGCTGAATCTAATTGCCTCTTGAAGATTCTATTGAATCCTTTCTATTAAAATATTGATAGGCTAAATCTTAAAAAATTGATAAGTTAAATCTTGAGCATCATACCAAATTAACATCATTTACTACTCAGATTACCTTCAATAAGTTTTTAGCATTTTGAAAAAGAGCTACTTGATTGTGTACAAACTGCTGGCACAGAACATTTAAGTCTTAAAAACTGTTTGATTATTGATCCTTTTAATTAAGAACCTCTGATTCAAACTATTTCTGATTTCAAACTATAAACTATTTAATTTCTAAAGCAGAAACATTCAAACTTTACAAATTATTTCAATTAATAATAATAAGGTATTAATGTGAATCGCTATTCCAAAAAACGAATTGTTTAAATAAATAATCCAAGACAGGCAGAGATGAAGCAAGAAGCCTTGTTAAGGCGGCAAAAGATCTACATGGTCTGTAACGCCAACAGAAAAAAAATTAAAGAAGTCGTGAAGGATGTTAGTGGACTGTTCTACATATCATGGGTGATAAATATTCAGGACGCAGTCTTTTTTAATTTTTTTTATTTTTGCCAACGTTTCAACCCAAACATGTGGGTCATCTTCAGTGCTCAAACCACGCCCCGAAGATGACCCACATGTTTGGGTTAAAACGTTGACAAAAATAAAAAAGATTGCGTCCTGAATATTTATAACCCACAAAAAAAAAATTAAAAGAGCAGTTACTCGATAAAATTCATAGTTTTGAAGTCACACCTAAAAAAAAATGTTTAAAATCGCTGATTTTTGCGCTTATGGAAAGTTATGAGAAAGTTTGTTTGCTTACTTCAAGTTCAGATTTAGCATCCCTTGAAATATATCAGGTCGCAGAGAAAACGACTGTTTTTTGTTTTTTTCACATGCAACTATTATTTGAATGGACTAATTTGATGTGTGTGATGTCCTCATTTATTTTTCAAAACGCAACCGGGTACTTCGTCAGTCAAAATGAATTCTTTTTTATGGAACGCTATCATATTAAAATTATTGATTATCAGAATTTCAGCCGTCAGTTTTCTCATTAAATGAAACGTAAAATAGCTACTCTTTTATTTAAATTTTCATATATAAATCAGGTGTTTTCTTCTAAAATGAACATAGTTGTATTTTTAGTTCGGTCTGTACCTAAAGTATCTCTCGATTGGACTTATCTCGTTGCTTTATTTATTTTTTAATTTTTAGTTTTCGGCCCGGATGGTTTTTATGAAGCGTGTTGAAAGTCTCCCTCTTAGATAAATTTAAATTTTATTTTTCTGAACTCAAACGATATAAATTGTATGGGAGGTAATTACATCCCCTTCGAAATAGATATATATTTAAATTGGATTGGTATAGGAATAAAAATATATAGTGGATTGAACTTCTACACGTGTTATTTACATGTTTCCACAATCACCCATTTATTTTGCTTAGTTTTTTTGATAATATGAAAAAAATATAATCCCAAAACGTGTTTTATACGCTCATTTGAAATGTCTACAATAGACTGTTTACATAGCTAAACATAAAAAAGGCGTGAGCAGCAGATCTCCGTCACTAAGGTCTTATTTCCCTGTCATTGTTGCATTTAAAACAGACGAAAAGTTATTTATTTTATTAAAGTTTTGCTGGAGAAATCTAATAGAATTTCGTAAACCATTAGCTACCCAATTTCTTTCTCATGTTTCGTTTTTGAACATTTCATAATCTGTTTTCGAATTTAATTTATCAAAATGGTGGAGGTGAAAGAAAAATCAAGGCATTCAAGAGGCACTTTTGAAACACCAAGTCTACGTAAGTACAGAATCTAACTTAATTCAGATTGGCTGTAGAGTTAAGGCGGAATTCCACTGAGGCAACACTGAACGACATCATGTTGCTTGATACTTGTTTCCTAGTGTTACCTATTGTAGCCGTCCGACTATGTGGCACAAAATTCAATTAATGTCGCATGCCGAATTCGTTGCCCCAAATCGCATGCGCTTTGTCGTACACTTGTGTAGCATGCGACTAAAGCGATTCGATTCAGGCAACTTCAGTTTGGTACATCATGTCATTACAAACAGTCGCGGTAGCTGTATATTTTGTAATCGCTTTGAATCATAAAAGGAAAAGAAAAACACCACGATATTAGAGAAGAGAGCTGTTACAAAGCAACTGCAAGCATTTATAACTTAAATCGATGGTCCAGAAATTCTTTATAATTTAATATTTTACGCTTGAAGAGTATTGGAAACTTCATTTTGGTCCGAGAGTCTGTTAAAAAAAATCTGCATTATTTGATTGAAAATTAAAAGAAAGAATTATTTTTAAATATTCATAATATTTATATTTAAAAATAAGTCAGCCAGTCGAATCTTGCTACCTGTAAAAATGGCGGCTGATGTAAAGAATATTAGACCAGTTACTTATGGATCGAAACGGAAAATTCATTGCATAAAATGTGGAAAAAGTTTTTATTTTTTAACTTGTATATATGGATTCAGAAATGTAAAAACAAAATTGGACGCGGAATTTGATGCTCTATAACTTTTAATCTATGAGTTCTTCTCTTAGGAGAACTCATTTTCAAGCTGCGACGCCATTTATAGTAATTTGTCTGTTTTTCACGAATTTGGTAAAAATCGGCGTTTAACCAACATACCACTTAACCAAATTATTATGTTTAGATACTCGTTCGACGTACAATTTAACTTTATTTAATTTATGAAAGAAAAGGTTTTTCTCTTTGCACTAAACTTGCACCGTTTAGGAACAAAAATACAAAGGAAAAAAAAACAAAAAAAAGATCTAAATAATCAGACGTTTTCTCCTATAAAACGTTTTTCCTTGGTGGTCTGCGTATTTTTTTTTTTTTACATGTCTCAACAAATATATATAAGTTAAAAAAATAAAAACTGTTCTCACATTTTTCACAATGAATTTTCCGTTTCGATCAAGTTACTGCCCCAATAATCATTAAATCAGCTGCCATGTTTACAGGAATTAAGATCCGACTGGCAAACTCTCAATTTTACTTTCACTTACCTATATATATAATATATAGTAAGGGAAAGTATTGCGATTATGAAAATTTTCGAATCTGAGTTTTCAACGGAAATACCCGTTCTGAGGTAACCTGAGTCCATATAACAAAGTCCCGAAAAATGGTCTGTGTGTATGTGAACACTCTAGCTCGAAAACGAAAAGTCGTACGAAACTGAAATTACGTATTTAAGATAGCTATATGCCTTAGATGTGACAGCAACTATTTCCTTAAAATCGGCTTACCGGAAGTGCCACTTTATATCAATGCTGAAAAACATTTTTACAATGTTCTCAAAAACGGCTCTTAACGATTTTGATTAAACTCGGTGTATCATTGTATAATTAAGTGGTCTTTAATATCGATTTGGTATTATCCCCATTGATGTCACTTTACAGCGCTTAAATGTCCAATGTTCATATACATCTTCCTCTAAAGTACATTTAATATGGCTTATTTAAAAAAAAAAAAATTATCTCACATTATTCAGAATTACAAAAAAATGCTAAACATAACTGTTGAAAGAATTTGATAATTGAATAAAGGAGAGAAAAAGAAATGCTTATCCAGATCGGAAATTAATCTCCGGAAATACCAGCCAGAAGGTATTTATACGTATAATATATCGTTGGGAAGCGGAGAATTAAAAAAAAACAATACCTAATATAGAAAATGTAGAAGGTAACGGGGAGTGGAGAAAAAAATATAAATAATAATTTCTAAAAAGTAACATTATTTAACGTACATTACGTGTTTTCTAGGAAATTAAATGAAATTTTCTTACTAAATGTAAACTTTTAACTTTTTTTTCTAGTTAGAAAAAAGTATTTAAAATTCACGAATGCAATTCAGTGACGCTGTTTAAGACACTATTTCATCGTACTTGTGTGAAAGAAGAAGTGAAATATAAAAATATCTCATGGATATATTTATAACCTTAAAAATATTTACTGTAGTTTAATAACTCTAGATCTGATATTATATTTAAATAATTAGGTATCTATCGCCCGCTTTTTCCGAAAAAAGCATTATGTATTATTTTAGAAAATTAAATTAGTGAATAATTTTATGCATTTTCCCTTTGTGATATTCCAACAGTATCCACTTCCAATTCTTGTGACAACTTTTGACCTGTCTATGAAAGACAATGCAAATCTCTTAATTCCATTTTAGTAAACTTTGCAATAGAAAATAACAGTTTAATAACTAATATTCGTACATAATCCGTAACTAACGGATCGTACAACCCATAATCAACCTATGATATAATAAATAGAACTTCCCTTATATTAATGGTATTTATGATTTATTAGCTGTAAGCATTTAGCTGTGTCAAAAATTTTATAATAGCCCAACATGGCCAGAAAAGTAATTTCTATCCAAAGTTGAGCGGTAAGCGAAAGTTGTGAGTTGCGCGCACCAAGATTTTTTCAATAAAGATGTTATAAATATTCAAAAAATGCTTTTAAAATTTTCATCAAATAATGTAGATTTT